CATACAAATAAGCTACATGAAAGAGACGTTCAGAAGCCCATATAAGGATTAATTTTAGGAAAAGAAATGAAATGTATCGATATATGTTTGTACAAAAAATATGCAAAATAAAAAATATATTTTTAAGGACCTCCAGCGATAAAGCAAACTTCTATTTAGGTTTCACTCTTTCACCTATTTTAACATCCATAGTCTAGTTATTAAGCTTCAAAATATCATTGTAATTTATCCACGGGGGATCCAAGGTGAACAAAACACCTAAATCTACCCATATGCCTATTTACCTTCCTCCCGAATAACTCTATTAATTACCATCGACGATGCATGGCTCAACCGCGCGACAAACTAACCACCAATCAGCGCGAATCGGCGGTCGACACCGCTACCCCCGCATCACGAATCATTTATCCCTATCCGCCAACCCTCGCCCCTTCTAAATAATAATACCGCGCACCCCGACGGATCCGGGAGCTCTCGAATTCCGAGGCGACAAGGTCCTTCGTCGTAGCTCGAACCCACCCTCCGGGAGCCCGCTTTATCAGTGTAACTGACGTTTTTGACGCGTCAAGTGGAAGCTGCCCGTTCGATATCTGCTACTGTTTTACATAAACAACAACGGGGACGGTTTTGTATCGGCACGAGGGTCCCCGGAAATCGCGGAAGGGTGACACGGGCGGAGATTCCTCTAAGTGATCTCGAGTGTTTTCGCAGAGGAGCCGCCCCGGTGTTTGCGCGCGGAATTCATCCCCGCTGACGATCGTTCGCGACGCTTTTTAAGCTTGGTTTAACCCTGGCCCCGGGGCCCATTTCGTAGCAGGCCGCCGTATTTAGTTAGTCAACCCCCGAAACCCGTTAGGCGCGATGGGAAACTACAAGTGGCGTCCAAAACCACCCCTTACCGCCCTGTCGACGCACGAGTCACGCAACCGCGGCCTTTCATGTGCTAATTCCTGTTTATTTAATCGAATGCTGACGCCGATCGGCACCGCGAAAGGGCGAACGATCGCCGGGGGATTAATTTCTAATATGCTTTATCGTCGCACGAACTATTCGGCGCTCCATTTAGCCAATGGGGATGCCCCTGAGCACGGGGATTTTTTCCTAATTGTAAGATGGACAGTCAAGTTTATTTGTTTGGAGACCTTTAAATCAAAAGATCTCTTTGTAATTATATTCTTTATTTTTGGGAGTTGAATCTATACAATAAAGCAAGTAAAATTGCCTTCCATATTTTTGTTTTCGAAGCGATTTGTCATCTGTTAATCGAATAAAATTTCGATCGTTACAGTCTGTTATAAATGTTTTATGTGGCGTGTTTTTATGTTTATTTGATTCTTTGTATTTATACGAGTACCGTTGCAATCAATTGTGAAACGTTATTCATTACGACGTTGTTTAGACTGTTTCATGAAACCGTGATTGTTGCACGAAACGATTGTGTAATTCAATTATTCGTATTTTACGGTCGGAAGTTTTTAACAAAATCGTTGGACCGTAAACAACGGTCTCGCGTTTCGACTCGAAATTTTGTTCCCGGAATTTTTGAAGCGCGGCTTTTGTTACCCGCGTTGGATCGCTGACGCGTTTGTTTCGTAGAAATTTTGACCTTTTTTTTGGGAATTCAGCTGGGGGAAACATTTATAGAGGCGAAACTGCACATTGCTTTTCAAACATCTTTCTATCTTTAATTCAATTTTATTGTATCAAACAAAATTGCCCTTTTTAGAGAAAACAATATATTTCAATTTTGATACTGTTTTGTAGACAAGTGATTTTTGCGGAAGTTCAGAAAGATACAATGTCTAGACCCAACCCTAATTATAATTTTCGCCCCAGGTTACACGTAAGCAACGCTCAAGTAATATATACAAATAATAATGACGTTGAATCGTTAAAAGTTTAATTTACTTTAAGGATGCTCCGAACCTCTATGTAGCAGAAATTGCATTAAATGTAGGTTTCATTATTACAAAAGCACTCCTAATTCCGGGGTAAGTAAGGGTAGTTGTTCAATTATAATAATTAGATTTAACTGTTCCTGAGCACCAGAATTCAGTTTCGTTGATCCGCCTTTCATTTACCCTCTCAGAAATTTAATTACGTTCGCGCGAGAAAATTTATCGGAGTCCCATGTAAGTTTATTAATCCCACTGTAACAATACCCTTACAATTACTACTTGCAATTATCGAAGAAAACAGGAATTGTTTAATTTTTTATAAATTCACTTCGACATAATTTAAACAATTATACATATATTAACACGTTGAGAATTTGTGAATTTTAAGAAGGTTACAAGAATAAGTACCGAAACAAATTTTAGCTTACAATGGACTAAAATTGAAATTTTACTTTTGCAGAATATTATACCGTTTCGATCTGGCGGTGAACGCGTTAAAGGAAATAATTTTAATTTAACAATTCGAGCATATCCTCCCCGAGTATTTGACCCGGCCCAGGAGGGTGGAAAATCGAAAACAGATAACGACGAAACGATAGGAAACTATGCAATGGCGACAGAAACGGGAATTGATTCCACCGAAATCGTATATTCATAAATGTGTATCTTCAATTCCAGATCATATAATTTCGATTCTTCGTTCGCGCGATCGGAAATCGGAAATCGGGAATCGTAAATCAACTACACATGCTCGTTATTAAACACCGTATTTGAATAAGTTCTCGTTTCGTGACGCGCATTAACGCGGCCCGTATTTCGCGTGCTTCTTTTATCGAAAATCGCGCGTAACGCGGAAACCCGTGGCCGGCAAAGTGTTATTAACGCGCGATATATCGCGGCCGTTCTTCCGACGATAATTTCGACGCCGCGGTTTCAGATCGAACCTCGTAAAATTATAAAGCCCGGACCCCGCTAAAAGCGTGGACGCCGCGGGGCCAATTAGCATCTCCGTAAATCACCGGCGAATTACTTTACGAGCTGGACGCGATGAAATCGCTTTCCGGACGTCTCGTCTCTCGTCGGCTCGTTTAACGTAGGATAATAATGATTCACGATGCACGCGTCGTCCGGGATTCTTTCAAGATTTTTCATTTTTTCTTTTTTTTCCCCCCCCCCCCACTCGCCACCTATCGCGACCGCGTTATCGGCGACATTATCAGTTCATATTGCAAAGATCGATCGATGACGCACCGATTGCAAAATTAAGTCCACCGGGATCGCGTGCATTATTAACAATATTGTAGGATTTAATAAAGAGAATCGTAGTTGGGATGAATGTACAAACGCAACCCTTTTGCACGTAAATTAACATTCAAGAAAACTGTAGCATGGCACAAATATTCAATACAAATCTCCTACGATATGCACACGTTGTGTGAATCTTGCAATTTCAAGAAATTTCGAGCTTCGAGCACGCGTTTGAGGTGGAAAGTTTGAAAAGATCGTTACCCGTTGTACTTTATAAACCTAATTGAATCCGATTCTTGATACCGACCGCGAAAATTCTAAAAAAAAGGAAAGAAAAATGAAAGGTAGCGTGACTCACCGGTGGTTCACGCTATCGCATAATATGAAGCCATTATGAACAGGTGAGTCACGCCATGTTGGACGCGTTACTTCATAGTGTCAAATAAATTTCATAATCTAATCTTTCGTTTTTAAGCTGCAACGGATGTGCACTTACACCAATTAACGATATTAACATTTATTAAAGGTATATTCATAATTCTACCGTCAAGTTTAATCGCTGAAATAGCAAAATGTGCAGCAAAATGGGGAACGTAAATTTCAACGCAGACATCTCGATGTTGCACTCTCGTGAATGCCTCTGAATATTTACGAAATTAAATGAGAACTCTTTTTCTAAATTACTAACCTTCGATGCACGAACGTTCAAGAATGTCGAGAAGATTTCATCGAAGTTGATAGAATTATTTCAACGCCATTGCACAGAATGTCCGAGATCCGACGACCAGAAAACTCGATTCCTCGCCAGTCAATTATTCAATTCCGGCCGAATTCGCGATGTTGCGCCGTCGACCGACAGATTCTCGCCTCTCGTTTGCGTCCCGCGATTCCGTGCATTTTTTAACGTCGATGTTTTCCTTCTCCTGTCCCGTCTTCCCTCGTCCCAGCGAAGATTAATGAATCGCCTTCGCGAAAATGTTCTGGCAAAGGCGGAGTTACTTTTCCAGGCTGAAGAGGTCCTATCCGTTCTTGAAGCTCATTGACATCTACGATCGTCAGGTAAATTCGTAACGATTCCAATCTCCGAAAAGCATAAACCATAACCTCAGACTCGTCGATCTTCGTTTTACAGTCGTTTATACGAGCGTACATGTTGGACAATGTCTACAATTGCGTGCTGTTGTACATTCTTTTCTACGTGGCTCTGTGGTTCGCCACTATCGTGAGTATCCTCGATTTTCGATAAACGCGAGTTTCTCGAAGTTCGAGGTATTTGAGTACTTGATTATGTTAGTTACATGACACAGTTTCTTCCTCGAGCTTCGAACGAACAATAGGCATATTCCATACGAAATTGTATTCAAAATGATAGGGTCAGTTGTCCTAATATGGAATATGTTCCTCATTTGGAACAATGTAATATTAAAAAATCGTGATTTTGCAATTCACTTGTTGCAACTAGCGTGCATGTATCAGAATTCCAAAGCAACACATGTTCTTAGAAGAATATTGAAGAAAATATCTTTGATCTTTCCCTTAATATTACACATAATAAAGCAAGTGCACCAATTTTGTGTTAGCTCGATTATTTCTTTGAATACGAATATAAATATAGTATTCTATATTACGAGCACTATGAGCCCAATATGGAAAATGAGGACCCCATTAAACAAAGTAAACATTTCTCAAACCGTTATTATATTTCCAATTTGACAGTTCAAAAGAGTTTTTATAAAAGTTCTGCAAGCAAGTGAAACATGTATATAAAAATAAGTATTCCATGGGCAACTGACCCTACGATCTACGCAAAGGGGTTTAAGTTTAATCGATCGCGGATTGCAGATACTTAGAAAAATGGACAAGTCCAACGAACAGATGCTGAAGGTTGTGGAAGAGTACAGAACGGTCGGTTTGTCATAGCAATTTCTCGTTCGATCGGTTATGTACAGATTGGTGATTGTTGCAGAGAATCGAGGACGTCGCGGCGCTGAAGGACAAGAAGGAAGAGTACGAGGCGGTGGTGGTCAGAGTGGTCAGTGCCCAATTAAAATTCTATAATAACAAGAACATTCATATATCCAAGTTCAAAAACACATTCCTCGGGTTAATAGAATATATCGTAACAGTGAGGAAATTCTTGCAGAAGGAGGGTCAGAAGGTGACGTCCGAGCAGCTCGAGGACGAAGTAACTTGACATTCACCGACTAAAAAGTTACACTCCCCCGTACGATGTAAAAAAAGAGAAATTTGAATTGTTCAGATGCGGAGATTGAGCACGGAACTGATCGTCGCGGCGGATAAGCTGGAGGAGCTGGAGAGGATCGTGGAAAAAGTAACGAACGACTGTTCCTCGTCGACGGTCGCCGATTATTATTAAATCGTAGTTGATTTTCAGTACAAGTCGTCCGGCGGTTCGTTCGAGAGTCCCGCGGGCGACGTCGCTGACCGGAAACCCGAGCTCGCGACGGACGTCGAAGGAAGAACGGCCACGGTCGAGGATCTCAAGGTAGGGTTTCCATTAAACGGGACCGGAGACACAGCGGAGCTTTTCCCCCAGCGTGACGCGCTGTAATTGTCACGTGAATCGCTCGAGCGGTTTACCTCTTACTACTCCTGTAACAATTCGGACGGAGCGCCGCGGCCGCAAAACCGAGCAGACGCAAACAGGGGACAGATTGGCGGGGAATTCTATTAGAATCCGCGACTAGGAGACGCGACATGTAAAGTTACTTCGGCGTCTGTTAACGAAATTGAGCAAAACCATGGGACACGGGGTTAGTTAAGACGCATTCAATGGGAACGGGCTTGATTACTGCCAGATACACCGGCCAAGGAACAATATTATTAGCGGGATTAGCTGGTATTATTGTCAGGATTATCCGTCCTCTAATCGCGTAATGTTCGCGTCAATTTCCATCGAGAGATCTTGGTAATGTCTAATTGGGTATAATTGGGACAAGAGTCCATGTTGTTTGGAAATCTGGGGGGAGTTGATCTCTTTCGAAAGTAATACTATTGAGAAATTAGATGCCAAAGTTTCATGACGTTGTTGTGAAAAATAAGGATTTGGGAGATGAAAATGTCAAAACAGAGGCACCAAATAATTTGTACAGCTATAAACATAAACCAGTACTTCTATTCTATTTGTATACATTTGAAACTACCGAAACATTATACCTAACCGTTTTTTTTTTTAATAAGCCTTTACAAAAAGGCTAAATCTGACTGCCTGGCCCCCTTAACGAGGGTTTCCTAGATGCACATTTTATTATTATAGATTTTGGAACCGTCCTTCCCGCCGCCTCTACCTCCGCCCAGAAAATACGGAATCTTTGTCGCTCGACCTCCTGGGCAACGTCGTCCGTCTCCCGCGGTTGCAACAGCTGCAACTCCGTCACCAAAGCTCGGATTCAAGCAATAACGCGTCGGTGGAGGCTTCCTCGGAATCCATGATTCCTCGACGTGAGTACTTCTCAAGTTACAGGGCTCTTCGACCCTTTGCACTCCATGAATATTTTTCCATACACGTGATTAGCAACTTCGAGATAGCTTTTGAAATCTCAAAGAGCTCCCTTTTCATTCTATTCATTATCATTATTAGTTTAATGTATGTGTAATTGTGGGGAATTTTAATTCTCAAAAAACTACATACAGAATGCACTTATTATGCAAATTTACTCGAATTTGGAAAATCAATCAAAAAGCCTCAGAAAATTCAGAAAAATCTAAGTGTTTCAAAAAACTACAGAGTCCACTTAATATGCAAAAATATAAGAAATAAATAAGAGAAGAGTTAAGAATTATTATATTTAGGGGTTGAAACAACCCTTCACGAAGCTCCCATTTCACCAATCCTATTAATAAATGTATGAATTTACATAAAGATTTGCAGTCTTGTTCTAATAAATTAAATTTGATCCACGTTGAGTTTATCTAGAATGCAAAGGGTTGCAAAAATACCATAACAGGTGTTTCAACGACGTGAAATGAGAAATTGAGTGAAATTGAATACATATACCTATCGACAGTTCGTGGCCCATCACGGAATGAATAATCGCAGTACGCGAGTTGTCCTAATTATTTACGGCCATTTCACCGTCTATGTATTCCTAGTATTTATTTTGTTAGTAGTTACTTTCACCGGTTTGAGGTATCGCCGATTCGAACGTCGATCGGTAGAAAGTTTACACGATATTACACGCCAGAGTACGTATATTATTCGCGGGCAGACTATTTCCATCTGTTCGCGTCGAACAAGACAATCGGGAACACGTTTACACCAGTACACGTCGTGATTAATGCATTTCCTAATTCGCATCCACGTTAATTTTAACGCAGATCCTAGATCTATAATATATGGAGTCTCTTTACACCGAGTTATTAAATTCTAATTTATACTCTACCATGTTCCCTACATAACTTTCCTATTCAATCAATATTCTAAACGAAGTTCCCAAGTTTATGCATCTACTTAATCGGTGTTTCTCGATGGAGGAAAGTTTCGAACCCCTACGGTATATTAATTTATTATTTATTTAATATATTCAGGAACCGTCCAAGAATTTGTGCATCGGTTCTTTATTCAATTTTTAACTGTGTTATTAAAATCTTTATTCGTTGGAAAGATTTTGGAAGAAATTTAAATGCATTTCTGTTTTGTGATTTAAGGTGGGAACAGAGTTGTCTGCAGCGGCGGCGATTATCAGGACAAGAGAAGAAGACGCGGAAAATTTCCCAATGGCGCGATCACCAGGAAGCTGTTCAAGGAACCGCTGAGGAACGTCACGCCCTTTACCAAATCCCTGTTGAACCTGGCGACGATTTTCTCGAAGGAATGATTTTAAACAACAGACTTTTACACGTACAACTCCTAATAAATTCAATTTCAAAAGCAACAGCGAAGCACGTGTTATTCTTTTCTCTATTTAATTACCCTCGCACGCGAGTTGAGAAACAAGCAGCCAATTCTACAATGTTGCAGGTTTTTACTTAATAGAAATCTGGAACAATCTCCCGCACATTTTAAATGAATTTCCATCTGAAAGCGCAGCTGTTACGCTCGAATTTTAAGCATTTCAGGCGATTTGAAAAACTATTTCATTCGTTCGTCTTTAGAGAACGAATTTCAATCCAATGGAATTTTAATACAAAGGAGTCTCGTGATTTTAGAGCGAGCAAAAATTATAATTAGAGGAGCTCGGATCTCTTTTTCGAAGCCAAATGATATCCAATTGCCAGACGCAACTCCCGGAAGTCGATGTTACAATGCTCGTTACAAACGCGCCGATTAATTTGCAAGTACACGGACGAGCGAACAGAGTATAGAAACACGAAATGGGGCCATATGTCAGACGCGCTAATTAATGACATCGACATCGTCACGTGCATGCAAATGCACTTTCCCAGAGATCCCGAAGCGCTTCTCGTTATCGCGCCTTTTTCGCAATGTAACGATACGCGTAACGCTTGTTTACTATGCTCGACGCTGCTGATTAAAGCAGACGTCGCTCCTGTGAACCGAACGGCACAATGACGTTTATTGCGTTTCCGTACTCTCGATAGAAACAAACGTTTCCGTAGCACCATAGATACTAACAAATATTGGAACACTCAGAAATGTATTTTTAACGTTTATTAACCCTTTGACTACGGTCAATTTTAAAGTTGAATGCCCATAGGCGTAGACCAATTGACTGAGCGTCTATAGGTGCTTTTATCAGTCAAAGGGTTAAACTATTTCAATATAAATCCAAATCCTTTTCTGGAGTTTCTTTAGACACTAAAACTGATATTGGATCAATCTGTCATCTCGAGATTAATTATTAAATAATTATTTCATGTTACCTGTGTTTCACTTGGGTACATTCGTTCGTACGCGTTTAGCGGGCACAGAACTTGCCTTATGACGTCGAAGAGCTCTCCCACTCGCGGTGAAAATGTCACCCGGGACGGACGATAAACAGGGAAAACAAAAGTGGAGACGCAGGAAAGTGGTTTTGGTCGCGAACGGTGAAAAGACTTTCTCCGTCCGAAGCTCCGTAATCACCGTAATTGCTGGACGCGAATTTTCGCGGTTTACACGTCACAGGGTTCACCGACGTAATAAACGCAACGATATTGCAATATCGCGAAACGAGAAGCTAATTCTGCGTACCCGCTCGCAGAAGTGAGAGTCTCTCAAGGCGAGCGAGTAATTGCACCCGATTAACCGTACATAAAAGAATTTATTAACGTTAAGCGCGACGCAGGTCGGATCCAGCCGCGCTCGTGTCACTGTCCTTGAGGAAACTGGCCACCACGAAATTATTCTCGTTGTTCCACTCACGTACGCCACGCTAAATTGCGACTTTGCTCCGAAAACGAGGAAAATTTTTGAATTTATTTCGATGCTTCTGACGGCTGGGGAACTCTGACATTTTTTATTTTAAATATGCAGAGTAGTACAGGTGTCATCTTCGTACTGTTTTTGTCGTGAATATTATTTTATATTACTTTCAAACGATCTTGAAAATTTTCAGATTTGTTGCAACTGTTAACTTCAGTATGACGGAGGTAAGAAACTGCAAGGTTGCGCATAAAAACTGGAACGTGGCCTCGAGGAATTAAAAAAAAGTGTAAACGATCTTGCATAACTATTATAGGAGGATATTAATTCTGTTTATCTCGTCCAACCGAATACAAAAGTGAAACGTCGTGGAAGCTACGCTTTTTAATTCGTGTTCGAAGGTTGTATCAAAAAAAAAAATTAAGGGTACTTTTTATGAGCTCTTCCTGTCAGTGGGAATTATAAACCTCGTTCGATATTTAGATCATACATTTTTGAGGCTGATTTTACTGATCTAGATCGAAGTTTAACAAACTGCACTCCTTTGTGGTGCAGTTATTTATGTGTTTCAATTCGTTGAGCGATGGTTGAGTATTTGGATTATTTTATTTGTGTGTTTCAATTTCTTGAGGGATAGTTGAACAATTGAATGATATATTTTCATGATTATACCGATGTAGATCGAAGTTTAACGAACCGTGCGCATTCGTGGCTTAGTTATTTACGTGTCTCAATTTCTTAAGCGATAGATATTATTTGTTTGCAAGGATATACACGACGGTTGCACCAGTTCCCGGCGTATCTGCACGCTCGCTCGCAAGGCGCGGCACGAGATCGGTCCGATCGAATCGCGGCGAGTAGCGGGCGAGTGTCCAACTTTCACTGACAACTCGTTAGGCCCGCCGCCGTGGTTTCGAATCATTCACAGTCATTCCACGACGACGCCAGGCCGCGGCAGCGTCTGTGAATTCCTCCGTCGAGACGCTCACCACGCGAAACCGTCGAAATTCGCGTCACTCGTGCATCTCGAACACCTCCAGCTCGTTCGAACCGATCTACACCCATCCACGAGACACCTGGATTACTTCTGTGCCAGTGACAGTGGGATCCAAGCTTCCGAGATCTTCCAAAAGTGTCTATTATACACGAAAGTCTCGAGATTTCGAGAATCCTTCGAGAAATTAAAATTCGATCGATGCCCTCGCGCGATCCAGTTTTGGTTACCGTGTGACCTGGAGCGTCCCTTGAGATCCACGAGGACGACGTTCGAAGCGGTTCGAAGAAAGTGGAAGTGAACGGAGATCGAAAGTTTCGCTGCAACCGTCTTCGAGCAGGCGAAGAAGACGTACCAAACTCAGACACGGTTTTGTTCGTAGGGACTGGTCTTTTTGGTTCTCACGAGTAGGTATTGTCTCGGTACGCGTAACCTGCATTCGTGCATTCGGGAAAATTGGGTTAAGGCGGTGCACCGCGGGGCTGTTGCGTAACTAACGTATTCTCCTTGCGAACGTTTGCGCAACGGATCTCCGGGCGGAATCGCGGCGGAATGTAAATAGAAAAATTATTCGACGAACAGCGAATCGGTATTCGAGGCCTGGAATCGACGTCCGGTGATCTGAATCTTTTGGGACCACTGTGTCAAACGTTCTCGTGTAAATTAAACAGCCGTCCACTACCGTTAGATTGCCCCCTTTCTTATTGTGCTACGATTAGTGGGACACTCTGTATTCAATTAATAAATCTCGAGGCAGAATATTTGAGGATATCACACGATTATTATAGACAAAGATACTGAAATATAAAAATAAGTTTAAGATTCGTTTTTTGAGGGGTGCATTGTAGGAGGGAGGAATAAACAATTCTACACAAATTTTGAAAAAGGTACAAGCATATTTTATGAGTGATTTAGTGGTGAATATTGTAATTGGCAAGAAGATTTGAGTGTGATTAAATAACCTTATTTCCGATTTTTCTACTGAAACTCTTCTAATTTTCTGTCGTGTGATAAATCCAGTTTGAGAGAAATATTAGAAACAGAATGGAAAGTAGCGAGATTTGCAATTCATTTCCCTGTTGATAGCTTTTTAACCTTTCTCATTAAACCGGCCGAGGTATAATTATCCGAACAGATACTCGACGTTGAATGATCGTTTTGAATCTTTCTTAGTCATTATCCGGCATCAGTCATTATTTCGTTTTGACCTCCAAAGATTCTAAACATGTCGAAACTCGCGAATATAGTTTAGCTTCTGCTAAAATTACGATTCGAACAACAAATGGTAACTTAATTTTACGCGTGACGAATATAATCGTAGAAAAATATTGCCATTTCTCTATGACGGATATAGTGGTCAAACACAGCTGACTGATTAAATAATTAGTGTCGATCACGATATCGGGTCTCGAGTTCGAAAGAGAAGCTTCAGCTTGAACCGGGTCAAGGTAATTTGTCTTCGTAATTACTCTCTCTCTTTGTTAACCCACTGCTCTGGTTACATAAACTTGAATTGTATTCTATGATCCAAAATCATTAACTATATCCTAGATATTTATACGGTCACTACTACGTTTCCTCAACAAATATTAAAAAAATTTGTACGAAAGTTATTTATATTAATGGTTCGTAATTAATCGAGTCGAAATTTGCCGCGATCAGGAAAACTGTTCCGGGGAAATCTGAATAATAAATGTCGATGGCGAAGAGTAACGAAGTTAGAAAGAGGAACTCGAGATAAAATTGATATAGGATAATCTGGCTTCAAACTTCCCTCCATCGTTAAAAGCTATTTAATCGTTCGTAATTAACAAAGTTAAGATTTTATGCGATCTAGATAATTATTCGGCGTTGAACGACGGCTTAAACTGTTCTTCGAGAATAGTAACCGTAATATGGTCCTCTGAATAGGAAATTTCGATCGTCGTGTGTATCGAGCCTCCCGTTCAAAAGAGTTTCGAACAAAATTGGAAAAAAGGTATTCAAGCTTAAAATAAAATTACCCAATAAAAGTTACTTAATCAACGATCGATATCTACCTCGTTTTGGGAAATTATTCACCACTGAATGAATATTCAAGCTGCTCTCAAAAATATGCATTGCCCTCGAAATTCAATTCTTCGAGCAATAAATATCGATCAGTGTTCGAAATAAAATTGTGGTAGGACAATCTAAAAAATATTCCTCTACTATTTACGTCTACTTATTAATCTAAACACTTATTCTAAATCATTTTTTGAGACTCCCCTTGAACAATAAATACCTGCTTTTAAAAATATGCATGGTCCTCGAAATTCAATTCTTCGAGCAATAGATATCGATCAGAGCTGGAAATAAAATTGTGATGGGACAATCTAAAAAATATTCCTCTATTATTTGCGCCTACTTATTAATTTAGACACTTCGAACACGTCATTGCACGCGGTGTTGGAAGGAGGATCTCGCGATAAAATTGTAATACGATGATCCCAGCTTAAAAATTCCTCCGTTGGTCGAAAGCTGCTTAGCCGATGTTAATTAAATCGGCCCCGGGTTCGATAACGCGACGCCATCCGTCGCGTCTAATTTAAATCGAACCGCGACACGCCGTACAACCGTGACGCTGCAGTTCCGTTAATTGCACCTATTCACGCGTGTAGGTGCGGAGTCGCTCGCGGAGGATTAAAGTTCAAAAGCCAGACCCAGTCCCGGCGTCCCGATCCAGTCCCTGAATTGGCCAGGAGGCCGCCAGTGAATCGAGGATCGTCGATCGGTGCAGACGCGACGTTTTCACGCCGTACGTAACGCCGACATGGTCATGGACACGAGCACGGTGCGTCTGGTGATATTCCTAGGGATGTTTCTGGTGTTCGCCGGGGACTACAGTTACCTGGTAGCGACGATATTCGGCAAAACGTCCGAACGGAACGTCACGCAGACGGTCAAGGGCCCGGAGGGCCCGCCAAGGGACACTATGCGCGACAGGATACCGCTCACGTCCAAGAAGGACGACGAGAAAGAACTCGGTAAGGGAAATAAAATGGACGTAGAACACTCGCGACGAATCAATTGCAAACGTGGGGCGCGAGAAATGGGGGTGAAATCGAAATAAATCTCGAAGAAGGTTTTCTCTGTTGACTGAGTAGACATTTTTAGGTCTAAAGCTTGCAATGTGGAACTCGTTAGCCTAGAAGTGAACGATCCTTTTTGAATTTTAGTGATCTGAATTTTGGAGAAGCTGGTCTCTGTCGACTGAGTAGAAATTTTTAACGTGGAACTCTGTGTACAATGTATAAGTGAACCCTCTTGAATTAAATTCGAATATGAAACATTCTCCGCGTGGTGGTCAATCGAATTGTTTCAAAGAAGACCAGAGACAAAAACACTGAATATATAAATTGTTCCAATTACATCATACGTCAACGAGGTGACTAATAGTATTGCTATGCCGGAGACGTAGTTTATGGGTAAAAAAGCCTCGTAATGGGTGAAATGACCATGGACATTGTTTCTAGATCCTCGACAGCAGAGACAATCCGACGTGTTTCGCGTTATTTCGAGGCGAATCGCGAAAGAAAAGGTGGTTTCGCTGGTCGAACATATGCTCCGAGAATCTAGAACCGCATCGAGAGTAGCCGGACAGGTTTGCCAACATTCTGTGCAAACAGCCACGCTTGTTTTCATCCGGCCAATTAGTGCTGCGAGCAGTCGACCTCGGCTTCGACTGAACTTTTCCGAAGTCTCGTTTCCAGGCGCGCGTTCGATTAATATTCGAGTCCGTTCGATAAATAAGAAACCTCTATCTTGGATATTCGATCAGCTGTTAGGATCGTCGAAGCTCGTTTCTGCCAGCTTAGACCAGTAACAACTTTTTTATAGTCTTGTGAATCGCGATCGTTGTTCATAAATTTTATGCGGCTCGTAAACGCCATCAAGTTGCATATTTTTGTCACGAACATTGCGTAATCGCGTCGCGCGTTGCAATATCATTTGTCGCAACGGAAACACACGTGGCTGCTGAAAAATTCCACGGCACACCTGTCGAATTCGATTATGTTCTTTTATTCTGGACAACAGGAGATCGATCACTCTGTCTCGTAGCCTTTCAAAGTTTTTGGCGCCAAAAATATATTTTTAATAAACAAAGGTATCTAGAAATTGCGTTTCTGTTGTTTGTATTTCCCGTTGAACGAAGGTTGTTTGGTCGTGCAATGAGGTTGAATAAAATATGGGTCAAAAATGTCGGTCGTTCGAGGATCAATGCTCGTCCATGTTGATCGCGAGTCTGGAGACTCGTTTCGATGCGTTTGCCACTCCATCGGGACGAGTTTGGCCGCGTGTGGATCTTCGACCTCGGGAAACCAGTTCGCTGGTATAGAAAATGCATTTCGAAAGCCACGAACCAGCTTCGACGTTCACAAGCTGCTCTGCTCCGTTCGCGATTCGAGATTTTGCGCGTTCGTTCGGGCTGACCTCTTTGATCCATTCGCGTCTCACCAACCGACTTTTACCGCGATCAAACAAAGTACGACTCCACGAGCTAACCTTTTCACGATCATCATAACAATTTTTATCTTCAAAACAATACCAATCTCTGCTACGAAGTATTTTTTTAAAATTATTACAACTCTTCTCATCTGTTATATTGTCTGTTGCCTTGCTGTATACCTGAGAATTTGCTTATCAGAAATTGAGACAAGCTACAGTTCTTTTTTAAGCAAAAATATTAGAAATTTATGTACCTGTTTCGTGCATTATGCAATTTGTATATTGCACTCGCACAATCACTATTAATTTTAACTTTTCTGCCATCAATTAAAACAAACCGAACGTATCAACTTTCTCGTTAGAAAACCCCATTACGAAGTGTTTGAAACTGATTGTATCTGAAAATTTAACAAGCAAAATGTAGAAAGCAAGAGCACCCGAGACGCAAATAGAACACGAACGGAATGAAATGTGTTTATAAATCGCATTGTGTACCTGATATCCGTAATCAGAGCCATCGATATTACATAAAGAATGCAATTTCAATATGAACTTTCGCAGCGAAACAATGAGAAAAATTTTGTGTAATCGATTTATGAGAAAACAATGCACGAGTAATAAAAACAGTGCGTCAAAGCCGAGTACATTTTGCCAGAATAACGTATCGATCCCTCATACTTATTTGTAAACAATGAATGATTTTATTCGAAGGAAAAGCATCCAGTCATCAATTAAAATTCCTGTCTCTTTCATATTTTTACAACTTTTTAAATAAACCTTCGATCAAAATTATATTTACACCCATTATATAACATTGTTTTCTTATTCATGCCCAGTAAATATTAGCATGCAAGCATCCTGTAACCAAATTAAACCTGAAACGGAAACTCGAAGTCGCGAAAGTTGAATGAATCAAACTTTACAAAATTGAAACACGCACGTTAAATTAACTTGGAAAAAATTACGAACGTTTCCTGTTCCGCGCGTTAAAGACTAAATTGATTAATATTAAATTCTTAATAGACTCGACGCGCCATAGAGTTTCGCGTACAGGATGGCCGTGGCCGCGGAACAAAGCACGGCTCCTTAATTTCATCATCTGGTGGCGGGATCGCGAGGGAAAGGAATGCCAAAACGCCGGGTAGGAAACTGGAGAATTAAATGAAACAGCGGGCTCCGGGCTTGGGAAACGTTCCACGTGAATTTGCACGTGTAATTGAGTCTAATCGAAACAAAATTGTCCCTGTTACCGTGGCTACGTGTCGTCGAGCTTTTCTCTTTGATCGTGCAATTCAATTATCCTCCTACCGGAATAGAAATTAATTCGATGGCGAATTCGATCAGCCTGGAAATTCGTAGATCAGTTTCCATGGACCACTCGAGTTTAATTGGGGGGCCGATTGATTCGCTGACCTTGATTTTTCGACGAGAGATTCGGTATCTATTCGCGCTAAAATGCATATGTCACACAGTCGATCGAGATTACCATCACGACGTTAATCACTCATGTTTGTCGATCATTTTCCAGCGGCGTTGCGACGCGCCCGAATGATGGCGACCATCAAGACTGCTTGCTTGCCTAAACTGATTTGCGAACTGACCTCGTTCGTCCATCAAGACCAGCTGAGCGAGATGGAGCGATCGTTGCTGAACTTGATCAGGTAAAGAAATTAGAAATTATGAATTTGTGAGTTTACTAAATTCCAACGTGTACCTAGTGTCCACTCGAGAGTTATTTCGCAAGGGTTTACCTTGACATCGCCGACAATATTCTCATTGACACTGTTTCATTGACATAGACTTTCGCCGACATTATTTATTTATGGACGTGTCGAAATCGCCGACAAACGTGTACTTGACATTGTATTCATACATGCTGCCTCACAGACACCATGTATGACAAATTGTTATTATTCAAGGTGCACGTTAGCCTTGCCTTTATTGATTGAACTAAATAGCAGACATTCTTCCAATCGAGATGAAGATATTTTATATTTCATTAGTAGCTGATATAACAAAATTTGATATATTTTGAAAGAGAACAAGATTTTTTAATACCAAAAGTGTTATAAATTAAAACTTTTCTGAACCTTTCGCGGTTCGAGCTTGCGTCAAGCGTGTCTAATTGCTTCGCTCGCCTTACCGATGGTGGAAATCGAAAGTCGAAAGTGAAAGTGGACCGTAAAACGATCTTTAAAAACCGCTGTTTCGAGAACGATGCAAATTTCGTGTGTCGAGAAACAAATAACGTACGTAAAAAAGAAAGTTGCTATTAGAATTTCTCCGAGCGATACGTAACCGACCAGAATGAATTCATTTACTTCGTTCGAAATATTTTCGCGTTTACCGAATTCAATAATGTGCAACGCCGTTTCCAAGATTCCTCGAGCCTATAATTTCCTCTTTTCTGATTCTATTTTTCGAGACGATAAATATTCCACTTTATGCTGCGTGTAAAATCGTAACCAGAGAGAATTCCGACCCTAATCATCGCGATTCGGCCATTCGTTAGCGACCGAAAGACATTAGCGCTGCCGTGCTTCGCAACGGAGGTTTCGAAATTTATGTGAGACGTTCCGTAGACCGTTTCGCCTTCAGCCCGTACGAAAGAAACGAACGACAGACTATAACCGAAGGTACAGCAATTATGCCGTTAAACGTTTACGATGTATTCCGGCCGAATGATTGACGCGATCATTCGTAACTCACGATGATCCAGCGGTTTCGCGTTCTGGCGTTACTACTTTTACAGCGACTCGTACACACGGAACATCCACTTTCATCGTTCGTGCTTCGCCCCGCCACTTTCACTCTCGACTTTCGATTAGCAGTAACGCGAGCGCAACAATCGATTAGTCGACGCAAGCTCGACTCGCGGAAGGTCAATAAACATGTGGAAAAATGGACTGTGCTTCGAGTTACGAAGAATATTATTTAATATAAAATTGTAATATTATGCAATTTTTATTTGAACACTTTTTAAGTAAAGCTGAGGATATAGTAAGCTGAAGAGTAATGGAGTACAAAATTGGAAGTGTTTAGCAGTTCCTCTCATTACTGTGCTTTGATTTACGAAGAATATTATTTAATATAAAATTGTAACACGTAATTTTTATTTGAACACCCTTTAAGTAAATCTGAGGATATAGTAAGCTGAAGAGTAATGGAGTACAAAATTGGAAGTGTTTAATAAGTTCCACTTACTAAATTTGGCAGTTCCTCTCACTACTGTGCTTCGAATTACGAAGAACATTATTTAATATAAAATTGTAACATGTAATTTTTGTTTGAACACCCTTTAAGTAAATTTGAGGATATATTAAGCTGAAAAGTAGCGGAGTACAAAATGGAGAGTGTTTAATAGATTCCACTTACTAGATTTGGCAGTTCCCCAGACCTGTAGGCTGTTCTACGTTCGAGGACGAACTGAGAACGATTCACGAAAAGTTTCGTGCAAACGATCGTTACAGCCAATTAGGTGCGACGCTTTGGAAGAATACTATAGGTCATTTTGTCCTCGAGCCACCAATCGAGGGCCAAACATCCGCTCGCTGCCAATCTCTAGTTTACACCCCTCGATCAATACAGGGTAATTCTTAATTGCACGTCAACGCACAGAGGGGTGAATCTAGTACCCAAAATAAGAAAATATTACCTGAGTCAAATTGTTTCAAAATTCTTGAAGACCCCAATCGATTCAAAAATATTCTGATTCACGTTTAAACTTGAGATAATAATTTTATTTATGAATTTTGCAATGAATGTAAGAACGTTTACTTTTGGGTTTCTTCTGGATGGAGTCTACAATATTTACACAACTTTTCCAAGATAGTGGACACGGAGTGCAAATTAATAAGGCATTGGACGTTCGAACAGTTTCTGAAATCCGTTTTGCTCGATCATCGATCCACGCAGGGTTGAAGCGTGCTTCGCGTAGAATAACAGAAACGTCAGCACGATATCTCGCTAAACGGATGCAGATGCTGCGAATGTCGAGCCCGATATCGGGGTCGACAGCGCATCGTGGATCCGGACGTCATCGAAAATTGGACGGTGTGCATAAACGCCACGCGTTTCGCGATTTTCGCATTACTATGCCCAGGGGCGGGCAACTTTCTAGAAATGGACGGCCATGGATCGCTTCACCGATTGCTCGCCAGTTAATTTTCCCAAAATTATAACGAGCCATTCCGTTTGCATATAAATTAATTCTCAATATTATTAGCATCTATTATTGAGGACGGAACAACGCTCGATACTTTACAATATTTATACGTGCACAATACGTAATTATTATTGAACAGACACTGTTTTTATGAGCATGCCTTTGTTTGCAAATTGATGATATTGCCAATGGTTACGATTACGTATGGCCATGAGCTGTCTCTAGAGTTCATTTCTCTATCTACAACTTTCAAATTTTATTTGTTCAAACATTTCTACTCACTTACAACATCCTGACAGGGACGAACAAAATTCTTATCTGGACAGAAATTTTAGATAACGAGAGATAAGACACTTTTACAACATAGAAATCTAAGAAGAAATTTGATAACAGATTTGAAAGCACAAAAGTTGTAATACTAAAAGTATAGCATTACGCTCAATTTCTAAACAGAATACTCAACCGTAACCTCCAAGCCAGGAGTCTTCGAAAGACGAACGAAAGCTGTTACTTTATATTTTTATTTTTATTTTCTACGAGTTTTTCGAACGGCTCAATGCGCCCTGCGAGCAGTAATCTTGGTAATGTTGAAAACGCGCGAACAAATTGGACGCCACGGAGACCACGGGCGGGCGTATGTCGCAATTTTCGTTTACGATCGCGAAACGATGGCTGATTCACGCCGGGCCGCCATATTATTTGGATAATGCGCGGCGAGCTGGCCGCGCGACCATCGGGGGCCGTTTTGCTCCCCGATTAAAAGCAAAGTTATGTTAAACCGGCCAAATATTGACTCGGTCGATGCGGAGTGGCAAATCGAATCGGTTTGTTTGTGCTCCGCGAAACCTCGCCGCGATTTTCGACGCTGGACTTTCCGTTCGCTGATATCGCCGGACCCCCGGCTATCGATCGACGCTGTACGGGATTTTATGGACCGCGGATTTTGTCTCATAACGCAAACGTAGAAGCGTTTTCGAACATTTCGACCGGATTTCATTCGAAACAGAAGTTTGAAAAGCGCCTGGGTTAGGTCGGAATTGCAATTCGCAAGCGGCGAATTTAAACGCGAGTTTAACACTGAACCTACCACGATCGAATGACCGTTTTTAATATTTCTGTTGAAATTTCTAACGTACAATGTTATGTTAAATAGGAAATATACAGCAAGGGTGAAACAAGAGAATATTGAGAATATTAAAAATACTAAAAGTTTAGACGCGTTTAGTCCCGAAGCTACTAGGGTTTAGGCCATAATCGAGCCACTGTTAGGGGCGCCAAGGCCTCCCCTTTAAAATGGTTTTTCGTTTTTATCGATCCGACTTACCGTTTTGGAGATATCGTAATTTATGTAAAAGGGTATTTTTCTTAATTTGACTATCTCTGTCTCCGTCTGACGTGTCGCGCTGGACCTCTCTGTCTCGCACGTGACTCGTGACCGAGTGACCTAGTTTCGCCGTAGTATTTCCAAGAATTTACTACGCACTGTTTACTATCTACGCGCGCGCGAGTTCATTGATCTCAATGAAACGTAAACAAACGCTTCGAACCCTTATATCTCTGAAACTAGCCACCGCATCGACTTGAAACTAAAATCGCTATATCTCCGGAACTAATTGAGCTATCGACTCGTACAAACGCCCATTTTAAAGGGCATTTAATCCTCTATCTAACGATTATATCACCTACTATAATTTTTGCTATCTTCTATGTTTATTTTCACATTTACTTTGACGCTACATACCCAAAGTAGTTTCAACAATTCCTATTGATCATACGACTAGTATACGATAAAACTGGATCATAAATTGTTTATTTAATTGAAAATAGAACATCAGGAGTACCTCGTAAAAGAGACCAAGAAAGATTGGTCACTTGATCGATCACGGTAGGAAACTCTACTCAAGATTCCAGTATTTAGAAAGTAAAAATTGTTGCCTCTGTTCGCAACGAGGAAATATTCCGTGCAAGGGGAAACAAACCAATGCGATCGAGCGCTGTTTTACAAAATTCATGAACGATCGATTAAAGAGCGTAAATAGAAATCGAAAGAACGTCGATAAACGTGTCTTTAGAAAGCGTCGGGAGATGTAAGTGATTTCAAAATTCCTCGTTTACGCGTTTCTGCGATCGTGGTAGTGCAACGACGTTCCGATGAATCGGACTCGAGCAAACCTTCCCGCAGCCTCGATTTATTTGTCCAAAGCCGCTGCCGCTTCCGGCCATTAAGAAGTCGATGGCGCCTCGACGAGAGGTCGGAGTACAACGTGAAAGTTCGTCTGTTCTTATGTAAGCGACCACTCCGAAAACGGGACAACCTCGGTATGTTGTCCGTGCGAACGCGCACACCCGTAACAATCCGCCACTTTCCTTTTCACGGGTTATTCAATCTTCTTCCGACTTTCTACGACGCCCGGAGCCACGCGTGCCAGACTCCCTCTCGAATTCCCTGACAAACACGCCTCGAAACAATGCCTCCCGTCCCCCCGTTTCGTAATAAAAAAATGCTATAAAATACATCAGAAACCTTAAACTTCGGTCCTTTATGTTTCTCGACAGAGTCCAAGGGTTGGTACCTCGTCTTTCGAGTCTTTGATCTTCTCCCAATTTCTATAAATATAGTTGTTTGAGGAAATTTTATTATTAATTCATTGACAGATCGAGGTATTGAAATTTGAATTTATAAAAAATCTGATTGCAAAGAAATATCCCACGAAACGAAAGCTATTAGGTAACCTCGTGATCGCGTAAGTAAATATTACCAGCCACACTCTCCTTAAACCCGCGTGAGCTTTCTTTCTTTACACAATACGCGGCAAACGCGAGACTCTACTGTGAAATTGCGATTCGCTGATGCAAACTCCGAGGACGATTTTCCGCGTTCATTCCAGGCTCTTTGTCGCGTATGCAAATCCCCCGTGCCTTTCGAAATTGTAATTCCCCGCGACTTCATGCGTAATCTTTATTCAGATCAGGAGTTTACCGCGGCTGGAAACGAATATCACGTCGAGTTCGACGTCTTCGGATGTGACTTCGGAGTTTTAACTATACTGGGTGTTGCATAATTCGCCGTACCCATAGAAAGGGTTACATTGCCAAATCTCACACTTTCACTTTGATTCCTTCACCATATATATTTTTAAATAAATTATGCTATCACAATTGCGGTCTGATAGTATTTCACTTTGTCCACGTTTTGTATTTTTCAAGTAACATGGAATTTTTTAACCCCTTCATGTACAATTTAATTTTACATAATTATTCAAACGTAGACTATTTAATTTCGTTTAAATTTGGCCACGAAAAAGAATAAGAAAAGAGACTTGATGACGAGTGAACAGCCTCTTGTTTCGTGAATGTTATTTTATAGCAAAGGGTTGAAAGAGTCTATATTTTAATACATTAATTGAATAAAATATGCAAAGAGCAACATTTACGAAACTTTGGATTTAATATCGCAGCGATACATAAGAAAATATTTTTCAGCTCGTTACTATTGGCCCCGGTCTACCCAGCGTTTCGTAAATCGGAACAACGATTTCGCCCGACAAAGGTAGTCCACTCGTGCTCGCGCATTCTTCTCTTATTTCCTTTGCCCTCACCCGGCTCTTTCGAGATTTTCGAGCTTAATTATCGTTCTAAATTGCAGCCCCGTTTTCAACGATTAATTCGCAACCGCTGCTCGGCCGCGGCGGTTTTTCCCGTTCATCACGCGAAATTACACGCGCTTCCACTTTTCCCGTTCCGGTTGAAAAGGTGAATTTCGTACGAATCGCGCGAGCGCCGTTTAATTGACAGCAATTAAGCTTCGTATTCCCGGGCGGCCAGTGTGTTCCTTTTTCTTTCGTAATTAATTAATGGATAAATTCACCCGTTTGAAACATCGATGCACGCGGAGGAAAAAGGTTCTCGTACGCCGGGAAACAAAACGGTTTTTGCGATTCATTAACATATCGCGAAACAGACACCGATCTCGCGAGTTCGTCGATTAATTAACGGGGAGGCGGAACGACGCAACGACAACGGGACAGCGTAAACAAAACTTTGGCGCAGTTTACCTCGGGGCCTGGGTTGCGTTTTATTAAAATTAATTCGAGCACGTTCGTTACTGAAATTAGCGAATAATTCGAAATACGCGCTACTGACAAGTTATTATCGGTAATTTATTTATTTAGAGACGAGGCGGAACCCGTTAATGATCCGAAAAGAGTAAATGGAACTAACGATAATGATTCTGATGTCCCACATTGAAACGCAGAGGCGTGATACGAGAGCAAACGAAGTTATTTACAGAGGCGAAACAGGTAATCGAATTCAGCCAATCATTGTATCGAAGTGCAAATACAATTCCCCATTCATCGCCGGCGATGCATATTTTCCCATTTATTCGCTAACGAATTAAGTAATTGTTTGAACGATGGTATGAACAAAACGATGTATTAAAATATTAAACTTTCCAATCTCGTAAACAACGTTCGTCTACTTATGGGTTTCGAGTATTAGATCTCGGGCATATACAGTATCTGGGAACGCTATAATTATATTAGTATTAACGAGTTTTAATAAATACTTTGGTCTCTTCAAAATGCAATATATTCGTTGTTCGAATAAAAATGATTAAAGTGCAGGAATATGAGTTCCGAAAGAGTAAACAATTAAAAATACAATTTAATAAAATGGTGAATTACACATTTTTCCCGTTCTTGTTAAAATTCCTGCAAATAAAAACTAAATTGAAGTACGTATAGATAATTGAGTTGTTTACGAACCTGCGTTGGTTTGATTTTTATTTGTTACATTCGCGGGGGTCTTTTTGAAAATAATTTAATATCGTCGCGAATTAAACGATCGTATGAACAAAAAAAACCTGCTATTGGCCCGGAGTAACGACGAGGATGATAAAAAGAACGCGAAAGAAAGCGAGCAAGGAGCGACGATGTCGCGGTGAATCGTCCTGCGAGCGATCCTCTCCTCGCGGTTAATGTCCCGGAAGGATTCGAGCTTTATATTTACTTTTATGCGTGCGTAAACGCCGCTTCCAGCGACGAGCCCGATTTTTATTGGATCGCGGATCGCTTCGGGTTAAACCGATCAAGATGGAAAAGCTAAGAAGCCGTTTTGCGTTTATTCGCCGGCGCTCTCGGGAGGCCCGAGGCCCGTTTCGATCGTAAACGGCCCGAGACAGGGAGACTTTTTCCCTTTTTGCGGCTGCTAGACGTCTTCCTCGGGAACCATGCGTGACGAAACTGCTCCTTTGGCTACGGGGTATTGCTACCGTCGCGACGCCATCCCCTCCCTACCATCTTACCTTAACGAAAGGTCACGAGCAAAATGGAACATGTAAAAATATTCCACCAGTAATCCTTTTAGAATTTCCTTGCATCCTATTTAGTTTGACTTTGTGACTCCATTTTGGACAGAGTTGAGCTTGTATGATCTTATCCTTATTTCCTACCATTTTACGTGAACGAAAGATCCTCCACAGTGAGGAACAAAATGTAATCGTTTTATAATTTCGTTGCATCCTATTTATTTTGACTTTTTGACTCCATTTTGGACAGAGTTGAAGTTGTATGATCTCATCCTTATTTTCTACCATTTTACGTTAACAAAAGATTCTCCACAGTGAGGAACAAAATGGAACAAGTAAAAATATTGCACCAGTAATTGTTTAATAATTTCATTGCCTTCTATTTATTTTAATTTTGTGACTCCATTTTTAAAACAGAGTTGAAGTTGTATAATTTCATCCTTATTTCCTACCATCTTACGCTAACGAAAGATTCTCCACAGTGAGGAACAAAATGGAGAATCAGTAAAAATATTCCACCACTAATTGTTTAATAATTTCATTGCTTTCTATTTATTTTAATTTTGTGACTCCATTTTTAAAACAGAGTTGAAGTTGTATAATTTCATCCTTATTTCCTACCATCTTACGCTAACGAAAGATTCTCCACAGTGAGGAACAAAATGGAGAATCAGTAAAAATATTCCACCACTAATTGTTTAATAATTTCATTGCTTTCTATTTATTTTAATTTTGTGACTCCATTTTTAGAACAGAGTTGAAGTTGTATAATTTCATCCTTATTTCCTACCATCTTACGTTAACAAAAGGTCCTCCACAGTCACGAGGAAAATGGAGAACCAGTAAAAGAGTTTCCATAAAAAAGAAAAACACCAATAATCGTTTAATAGTTGCATCCTATTTATCGCGTTTCTGTGACTATTTTAAACAAAGTTGAAGAAGTCTTTTGATATCTCCTAAAGTATACAGTTTTCTATCATCTCATCCTCTCATTTTTTTTACACAAAATGGTCCAAAGAATTAATTTACCAAAACGAAAATTAGATGGTACCATTTCTAAGTAAAACACAGTTACACTTTGCAACTTATAGAAATGAGAAATTCGAGTGTACTGAAAGTTGGGAGTGGTCAGGAACAGTGAGACGTCAACACCGGAAGTAAGTTGCTATCGTCGATGTTTTTCCCAAGTTTCCCGGCAATCTCCACGATTCTGTATGTTCACGGTGGAACGGAGAAAGGTGTCCCGTGTAATTTTCAATCGGTTTCGTCGAGCATAACCGGATTCTACCGCGCGTGTTTACCAGCAGCCGTCGATATCGAAAGTAAAAGGCGACTCTCCTTGTGCCTGTTCTTATATGCCGCGCTTCTCAACCAGTTTATCATGGTCAAGCGTTGCGAAAGTGGAGTTCGTTTCGTGCGTGGCGCGCCATTGGCGTCGAGCGACCATTTTTTCGGCTGTTTCGTAACACCGTTCGCGATCTTTACGAAATCGCGTGGCTTTGATCAAAACCAGAAATCCCAACTCCATTAAAATACAACGTTCCATTATTATTCCGTTATATCATTCTACGTAATTCGATTAAATTCTTCCCCACGCAAATTAAAACAAATTCACATTTGATTCGATATCTATAAAATAAACGTACATCCCCTCGAATATAATTCCTCGATGGTACTTCGCGATGAAAACATGAAAATTAGAACGATGCAAATTTTCCGAATCGTCGAATTTAGTTGGAAAATACGTAACGTTTAATTCCGCTGACCGTTGTCGATTAAATTTATATTAAATCGTTCAATAAAATACCTTCGTGAGGATGGAAAAATAACCTACGGAAATTTTCTGAAAATTTTCCAGGGACACGAGTTTGAGCACAATGGCGGAAGTGCCCTCGAGGTACCACTTCGCGGCGCATATGGGTCAACTGATATCCGGCGTGGAAGGTCAGGGATGTCACAATTTCTACCCCACCTGCCCGCTGCCCGGCTCCAGCGTTCTTAGCATGATGAAGAAGATTCGACTGCGGTGAACCGACGAGATCCTCGACTGTCGACGACAGAAACCGAAGATTACAATGAAGCCTGTGATATCGTGGACGATTTCTCTGTCAACCCCCGACGTTCCACCAAGGACACGGTCCTCGACGATCCGCAAACCCCTCTTTACGCAAAGAGACTCACCGAGATTACAAAACGCAACGTTCATTTCCATTTTTCCCCAAAACTATCGTCGATATTATTTTATCAACCATCGCTACGCGCTAACAAGAGAGAAATATTCCTCCGAACTCTATTTATAAACGAGATTTAAAGTTCGAGAAATTTTCGTTAGATCAACGCTCGCTGAACAACGTAGGGGTTATTTTACGTTACGCTTAAGAGGATTAAATAGTATTTAACGCGTGCAAGAAGTACATGGAAGTTCGCTATTATTTATTGTTTCGAAACGGCGCGCTTCAATCGCGATCTAAAACACGATACTCGATGAAATTGTACATTATACCGTGCTTGCATTTTACGTCGTCTGAAATGCACGAATAAACGCGTTCGTATTGTTTGTAAAGCCCTGTCGTCGGAAGGAGGAGGCACCAACAAATTCGCTATTTCATTCGGTAAAATTTAATACCTCTCGTATTTCCAGTCGAAATACGGAGACTTCCGCGAAACGATATCGACGGTTTCATTTCCTGGCGGAAAATACATAAAGCGGACTTTATTTTCGCTGTCCCTTCGAACGGGGGCGGCTGTACATTTTCTCGTTTTCGCGATCCTTCTTCCACGGTCGCGTATTACGTAATAGCCCCGGCTACACCCCTATTAATTTCCCGCCAATTACGGGACATTTTCCGCGTTCTCGAGATTCCTCCCTAATAGCCGTCCCGCGGAAAGTTACCGTCGCTAGAACCGATCTCGACGAAGTAGCCTTTATTTACCATCGACGTACAATATTTAGCGAGCGTATAATGTTCACAAAGGCAGCCGGAGGAGACCCGAGGTAATGGCTCTTGCGCTCGAGTCCGCTTCTTCTAATTATTTCGCTCGGCCACGACCAAAAAGGGACCTTAATTTACGCGATGACGGTTTATTCTTCCCGTCATCGTTACCGTTTCGCGTTTAATACGAATCGCGGGATCGCGTTTTGATTAAATTTGATCGATTTAGATTGATCGTCAATCTTATCAGCGCCTCCTTTGATCGTAGAAACCAAAGCAGTTGTCAGGGGACCATATTTATGGAAAAGGTGTACTCTGTTCAGACGTTGCAAAAGTAGAAACCTAGATCTATTAATTTTAACTAGCTTTGTAAAAATGGCATTAAATTCATCGATTTAAACAGTCTTCATGAATATTCTTCAATATAACCAACGTTTTTTCTCTGCTTATATATATTTTTATATAAAACTAGCTTCTAAGATGTTGAGATATCTATCACGATGTTCAATTATGTACTTTTTTAAGTTGTTTCTGCTTCTGCTACCGTTTCTTCTTTTCTGATTATTGGGGAACCTTTTTACAACTGTTTTTGGTCCCTACAAGCAAACGAGATATTTTCAACGGAACTGCTTGGATTATTATGAAACCAATCTGCAGTACGCTCCTTTGCAATAGAATAGATCGAAGTGTGTTGAAAAATATTCTCTGTATCTATGGACACGAAGGGGTAAATTGCATTCGTTTAAGTTCGATGTCTACTTGATAAGTTATTTGCCCAATACTTTCTCTCAAATTAAAGAGAACTATTTTTATACTTTAAGCAACTGAATAAAATTTAATTACTCCAACAATCAATCTTATAAATGCCCCCTGTCTCTGTAACTCCATCCCTAATACACATGGTAAGTATTAATACGACAAATTCCAACTAATAAACAATTTAAAATTCCAGAAGAACAGTCCAAGGTTTCTCGTATCCAGTTATTCCTTCTGTATTTTTCACGAAAAAAAGAAGCTTCGCGCGAAAACAATCCGGTGAATTTACAGCGGCGTCGCGGGGGCTTCGAAAAGTTATTATAACAATCTCCGGCGCCTTTATCGGCTTAAGCGCCATGCCAAACACTCCCCGGTAACGATCGGGAACGAGATCGTGCCAAGCCAAAGAGACTCCTAACAGTTAGGATCCGCGATATCCTCGGCTAAAACGATCGCGCGGGATTCGTTTATCGGCGACATTCGCGCCACTGCCAAGAGATCCCCCGCTGTTTCGTTTCGAACGGCGTCGCGACGTTACCGCACGCTTCTGAATAATCCACGAGCCCCCCAAAAAACACGATCAGGCGATCGTCGTGCGTACCACGTTGCGGAAACTTTCGTGTTAGGAAAGACAATAGACTCGCAGGGGCTGGGAAATTTCGTTCCACTCGAACGACTTCGCAAATAGAACGAGACGTTACGCGGACTTGGAAATTTTTCTGTAACGCAAGAATTATTTAGAATTTCGTGAACGTATTGTGGGGCTATAATGGAACCCTAAACCTGGGGTCAAATTTTCTGTTGGATGTTAATTTGAAAAATAGTGAATTATGTGGAAATTGTACTGTCATCGAAGAACACAGAATAAAAAATTGAACCCTTTATGACTCAAATTATTTTTTGATTCTAAAACACAGTTACGTAATATTAATTAAATTAGATTAAATTGTAGAAAACGATCTAATAGAAGGATGATAGTGCACGAAAATTGAAGTCTCTATAACTCAAATTATTTTTGGATTCTGAAACACAGTTACGTAATATTAATCAAATTAGATTAAATTGTAGAAAACGATCTAATAGAAGGATGATAGTGCACGAAAATTGAAGTCTCTATAACTCAAATTATTTTTGGATTCTGAAACACAGTTACGTAATATTAATTAAATTAGATTAAATTGTAGAAAACGATGTAATAGAAGGATCGTAGTGAACATTGATCACGAGACATAATTTTCGATAGAAACGGGGTCGAAACATTTACATCGATGCAAATATCCGTAATTAAATTATGAGCTAATTCCGTAATTGCAGGCTGCGAGTGTTAAACGCTACTTAAAGAATTGGAGCGCGAGGATGAAAAGAAATGTATCCGATCGGTCGCGGGAGATCGGTTCGTAGGACGCGGGAGAGGTAAAAGTGCATCGACGACACCGATTCCGATCTACGTGACCTCGTTCACGTAGGAAAATCGCGTTCATTGAGCAACGATTCCAGCTGGATTCATGTAATCGGTCTCGTTCGCCGTGTCCCGTTGCCACGCAAGAAATCGATTATATTCTTACACAGTCGTCGCTGCGTGATCGCACTTAAGTGGCTGTTGGCACCATTTCCATGCATTACGAGAGATCACTTGTAATTCGTCACCGACAAAGCGATTCCCCGCGATCGGGGGACTAATTAGACGATCGAGTCTCGTGGCACCTGAGATTCTAGCGAATGCATTCTTGCACTCCCCGATAGCACAGTGGAGGCCAGCAAAAATTCTGAACCATGAAAATTAAGAGGCTCAACTTTTTATCTACACCCTTTGAATAATTTTTTTGTTCTCAAGGATGTAAAAGATTTAAAGTGAGCTTCTTAGATTTGAATCTCAGGAGTAAAAAGTAACATTAAAAACGACTATCTGAAGACTGAAAGAGGGTTCAGAATAATCCCCTGATTACTATACTTCTCATCACAAAATTAAATACTCCAAAAATTAACAATGTTTCCATCAAGTACTCTGATACTCACGACTGCCAAATGTAATAATTTCTCTGAAAAACGGGGCGTCCAAGGTCGCCTAATCTTCTCGACAGAGATTGGTAGGTCTCTTCTAGGTAAAAATTTCTCCACGAGCGTGCTTTGGTACGCAATGGCGGACCACAAGGCGTCGTAGGGAGCTCGAGGATCGCGACGACCTTGCGGAGGACGCGGCCAGGAAGAGGGCTCGAAGAACGTCACGCACGAGCCCCGTTGGCGCACTAAATGTCGCAATCCGGCGTTCGCCGTTCGTTTGAATGCGACGTTGGGAAGGGGGATCACTTTCTCTTGGACGGCGCGAACGACCACGGGCTACGGTCGCCATGGAGGAACACTCGTAAGCGAGTTTTTACCAAAGAAGCAACCAGTTCGCTGTCACGTTTCCGATTGTTCCTGGTCCACCGGCGAACGCGACGGAAAAACAGAACGTCGGCGCGGCAAAACGCGATCGCGGCTCGTTGACGATCGATGGACCACTCGCGAGCAACGATTTCGTGACGAGGATATCCGACCAGTGTCCGAAATTCATCAGTGGTTCGAGACAGGGGGCTTCGTCGTCGAGAGTAATTGTAATTCGTCGAAGAGTCCTTTGTGAATTTTTGTGAACGGTGCTGGGAACAAGAGTGTACCAAAATTTTAGTCGAGTAATCGATCGAAATTAATTTGGACGGTTCAGTAGATAAATTCTTGTTCATTGAAATTTTTTTAGATAAGAATTTTGATCGTTTCTGAGTTACAGGAATCGTAGACGTAATGATTTTTGGGGCTGTAATTGTAAAATGGGTTCTTGTACGATTTGTATAGTATGGCAGGTTCTATAGTAGTACCTCTGCAACTCGATACACAAACGTGACGAAGTATCGTACGATTAAGTATGCAGTAGTTGTGTCGCTCGTTTTCCCTACAGAAAGTAGGTCAGTTGTCTATGAAAAGAAACACTTTTGCCTTTGTGAATCTTTTAAATTGATCCCTGAACGAGATTCGAGAAAGTTTCATTCACGAATAGAACTAGAATCTAATTTTTTTACACCAACGTAAACGAATCTCTGGGCCAAAAGCTAGCTTACGAACGAATTAAAAATTTGCAGTTTCTATGCAAATTCAGGAATAAAAATGGTTACGTCCGTGGTTCCACCCAGAATCTGTCGATCAGTTTGACAATAGTGCAAAGATAGATATAACGCGACTGATTCCCCAGGTAGCATTCCACGATGCGATTGTCGAGAGCGTTTTTCTTCCTGGGATGTTGGTTCCTGGCTATAGCGGCTATAGCCGCGTCCCCGAGACCGGAAGAGCCCGCGTTCGAGCTTCCGGTACAACTGGTCGGCTTTCCAGTGATCATAGCCGCCGTGAGGATCACCAATTTCGTCAAGAAACTCGCGTACTCCCTAAATCCAGGTGAGATCCTCGAACCAATACTATATTAATTCATTACATTCGATTAAAAAGTAAATTTGTGAAACGTCTTCCCGAGTAGAGAAGAAACCCTGTCCAGTTTAGATTCCTGAATAATATCAAGTGCATCAAGTACACAGTATTCTTTTTCCTATTTTATTCGACTTGGAAATTATTCTGAGGCTGAGTTTCTTGGAGCAAGTTCAATGTTTCCTTTCGCTCAGATCCTTCAGGTTGCATCGAACGTGACGCTTCATCGATCGCTGAAACGTAAAGAATGTAAACTTCGCCGCGTAGGTAACCCGGCTTCCTCGTGGTTTCGCGCGTGAATCGAATCGGTGAACAGCGAAAGCGAAAGTGTTCCACTTGTTGCGACTTCTGTGTCGGAACCACGGAATCCCGTGTAATGCAGGTGTAATTTGCAGCTGTTTCCTGAATACGAATGGATTATTCGACGATCGAAACGCCCGGCAGAAATGGCACACGTGCGCGTTGTTAAACACAGGTTGATTCGAATACATAGAACCTTTATCTAACATTTGCCACTTCCGCTTCTACGATAATTATTTACAGCCACATGTATACGATTCTTACCATAAAAACAAAATTTAATGCGAAATACTTATTGCAAGGTGTTTGAAATTTTATTCGAGCAATGATTAATTGATATCACTCGGATAAAATTCTGTCTGGATCGTCAATTTTCGTTAAAATAAAGGTTGAAGACGTCGACGCCGTTTACCCTCGTTTAGCAGTTTCGAATGATCGAAACGGGGACTGTCGCTCGGATTGATGACGGAAACTGATTGAATCCCGCAAGCGTTTCTATTAAAACCTGCATAATGCATTAACGCGACCGATTCCTGTCATCCGATGACTCGATTGTGAGGTCAGTTAATAGACTGAACGTCGCGAAACATTTTTACGAATAATCGAGTGCCAATCTGGCAACGAATCAATTTATATACAGGGTGTTCGGCCATCCCTGGGAAAAATTTCAATGGGAGATTCTAGAAGCCAAAATAAGTCGAAAATCAAGAATATCAAATCATTTCAAATCATTCTGGAAAAATTATATTCGGTTGTGGGGGCCAATTACAATCATTTTTGGTGAATAGACATACCCCCGAAATCCTACACACTTTCGAGAAAAAAATTCCTTACCGAAAATACAATGTCTGACCATGAATGAAGATTCCCCTGAAATTCGGCAAAATTAAAAAATTTCAAATCGTTCTAAAAAAATTATTTTTAGCTAGAGGAGTCGAGTACAATCATTTTTTGTCAATAGACATACCCCCGAAATCCTACGTAGTTTCGAGAAAAAAATTCTTTACCGAAAAATAGCGAATAAATATTCGTAATTAAATTGCGTATCTATTGGTTGGAACTTTCGTTTCTTTCGATTGAAACAACTCGTTTCCTAATAGAGTGGAACAAAGCAATCGATCGGGATCGTTGACTATCCTGCACGCTAATTTGCCACGCGCTCGAATCGACGTTTACAGTTAGAAAGCACGTCGAGCACACTCGGCGGAGCAAACAACGCTCGAGAAACTAATTTCGACGGGGTCGTTTTGCAATTTGTCACCCATTCGTGTCCCCCCTGTTTCCAGCGACGTACGCCAGCCGCGCGAGACGAGACCTGCCTCTGGTGCACGACGAGGAAATCCTAGACGTCGGTCAGGTGGAGAAGAAATTGGTAACGGAGCTGGGCAATAACGTGTGCATCTACGAGAGAATATGCGCCAAGTATGCAACCCAGACGCTGCTGAATCGGAGCAGGGAACGCGACCTCGACTGGAACGTCGTTTTCAGGTACACCACTAACGACGCCCCCTCACTATCCAACCTACCAATGATTAATATCTAACGTCGTAAATTGCACAAAGCTAACAGCTTATTTCCTGCCCTTATCCATAGAACTCGCCATTAACTGCGATCACGTTGCCCCTGGAAATCTAGATTCACGTTCTCCTTGACTTGCGTAAATTGAAAGCTTAGAATCGAGAGAAAAATTACAAAACAAACGTCTATAGGAGCTTGAGCCTTTCTTATTGATAAAAAAGTCTGTTATTTGAATTTCAATCGTTCCAAACGATTTCTCTATTTCAATGATTCCTATTTATAACTTCTAGCCATGGGATAGCCAGTTCCCCAATACTTTGAACTCTTCTAGATTTACCACGAAAGACAAACACCTTGAATACATTAATAATTTTTTAAAATTTCGTGTCCACAGACTTGACTCTGAGAGATCTATAGTATAATTGGAAATACTTTTTCTCGATCACGCGGAAAGATCTCTACCGCCAGGCCAACGACTCGGCGTTTCTCGAAACTCCATTCCGTGTTTATGCGTCGACGACACAGTTTCTCCTTTACGTAACTCGCGAAGCGTCGCGGCGTCGGTGCTCGATCGCGTTTGCATCGATTCCCCCGCGATCCGAAACGTCATGCACCGGTCGTTACCAATACCAATCTCGTCCATTTGCATGGCAATTGTTCCACAAAGTGGTCCGGCGAACGGTCCGCACGCGAGGATCGTCGACGTTACGACGATCGAAATAACGGTGGCAGTCGTTCGGATCTCTGGCTAGAAAATTATCGAAACATTCTGGAATACGGATACTCGAATGTTATCCGCTGAACCACTCCACGGTCTCGAGACTCTTCGAAAGTCTTGTAAAATCTCGAGTGTCTTGCTATTACGTTGCAGTTAAGATCGACAAAATATTGGAGGATGCAATGGGTTGCAAAATCGGGCGTTTCTGTGTTTCCAAAGACTGGTTCGATGTTCAAGTAATATTCCGGAGCGATCCGACGTTTCCTCGAAATGAATTTTATCCATTCGCGAACGTGAAAACCGTGTGCAAAATTTACGCAGAGTGGAAAATTAATATTACTCGAAGCTTCACGGAATTTAAGGTAAAGTCACCATTACGAAGCTTCACACTTCTAATATAAAGTCACCATATTCTATAAAAAAGATGGAGACCTTTGCATACCTCTGACACGTATCTTCGTATACAATTTGGTAGTTGGTTAGCCCTGCTTTTCTAGTGAATAGAGTTGATAAAAGAAGAGTCACGCGCGAATTTGACGAGTTGCATTTCGCGACCCGAAAAGTGCATCGCGGGTGCAACGACTCGCGCAACGACGACCCTGAAGTTCACGGCCCAGGGCGTCCGCGGCTCGAAGACTGGTTTCCTACCTTCGTCTCGGTCGGTCGAGTTGCGAAACGCCGCCGATAGGAAGCTTAATAACGGGCCTCGTTAATGCATCGTGGAAAACTACTGGCCCATTTGCGCGGCCAGCCGTGAACCAATGAAACGTGTCCCCTGCCATTTATTTCACTCCTCCTTGCCCCTTTCTCTTCCGACGTTTCGATTCGCGCTGATTATATTAATCTCGCCGCGCGTCAAATGAATTTTTTCCCCTCGCCAAACTTTTCTCGCCGCTCTACTGCCTCGGGGACATGCATCCATTGAAACATACAATGAGAGATACGTTAGACGGAATCAGAGATCAGCTGAAGTTTCAGTTACTGTTTTTTTAATTCGAACTTCGTGATAAAGCTGTTTGTATTAAATAAGAATGATGATCAATTGTGTATCTCTCACTTTCGACATTTTTACTTCGATTGGTTTTGGAATATTTAAGTACATAGGCTGCACATCCTTATGCATATTTTTATTAATAGAATTAATGAAATGAGAGCTTTGTTGAGGACTGTCTCAACCCTTAAATATAATAATTCCTATAAATGCATAAAAATTCGCAGTCTAGTAATAATATGAAAAATTCGAGTGTATTTGCGAGTGTTTTATCTGGATGCCAAGCATCGTAAAGATCGAAGACGAAACGGGCGAAGAGCCTTGTTTCGTAGACGCAGGAACCGACAGTTATGTGTTAACACGAGTGGCAAAAGTAAATTGAGAAATTTTTTATACGCTTCGTATAAACCTGTCGTGATTATTACGCTGTAAATCGATGGCGAAACGAGTTTGGAGGCTGCAGGAAAGGTCGACAGGCCCCGGAGAGCCTTAAAAATTGAGTCAACTTCCTGGCTTGGCATCTGAACTTTTCCCGTATTTCATACAGTCTTCTTTTTCAAATTTTTAAATTCCGTTCAAGAGTCATCCACGACAATTTCCAGCAGACACTTTATAAAAATTGTTATTCCATCACAGTATGATTAGATCCTCGAAAGCCTTACGACGAAATACCATAAATATCAAAGTTCGACTCTCGAATATTTCATAATATTCGTAGATGGAACCTTTGGAATGGCCAAAAATCCAACTTTCTCCGGGCCTCCGCATAAATTCCGAGGATTCCCCGATAATTCGCGGAGAATGATCGAGCCGGTAAATCCTTAAAAGGAGCTGCGAGAGAAGGTGGTCCTCCTCCCTGGTTCTAATGGGTCGACAGCACTTTCTTCCGGCGAAGGACCTAATAGAAATCCGTGCTACCCGGGCTCGGTGTTGGCCTTCCACGGAGCCACCTTCTCCCAGCTTGCATTAAATTCAGTCGCGAGTAACGCCGGGAGCAGATAGCCTTTAATGGCGGCCCCGACGACCGTCCTAATGCATCCTGATAACTCTGTTCCAACGTTTCGCCCCACCCTGCCAGCTCCTTCGTTGCGCCTCTGCCGTTTTACGAGTGTCGCGGGCTATCTTAACCCCCCTAGATTCGAGGGGGCTTATCAGCGATTTCCTCGACGTCGGGGGATGGCCAGCGCGTGTCCTGGAGGACGAAACGCGATCGGTTCTGTTACCTGTCTAGACGCGGGGAGAACTCGTGGGAGGGTGAATCCGTGCACACGACGACGCCAGGAAACCGTTTCCAGTGGCTCTAACGGAGCATGGATGAGAAATCGCGCAAAGTCCTTCGCAGGAGTCAATTAAAGAATAGATAGGATGGCGTTGACAGTGGTGGATTTTATCTCTCGTGGTAAATTAGTAATTTATACCGGGGAGTTGGCAATCTCTTTCACGGAAGATCGAGCGTGTAAATTTTCTAGCGAATTTAATATCGACATCAATGTCCGTGGAGGGTGATTCTAATCTACGAATAATGGAATTGCACAGGTTTTCAAAATTTAAAACCTGTGTCTGTATCATTCTCTCCGCAGGGTGGTCCAAATGTTTCAGATCGTAATAAAAAATGGCTCGAAGAGTAAGTACTACTGTACCTATCTGTAGGACCTTAGATTTTTTCAAATTCGACAAGTGAATGTGCATGTAAATGTATTAATAACGGGGTTGTGACCTGAACCATTTGTATGGACCACCCTGAATAGCTAATAATATATTTTATTTTAAAATTGAGTAAATTTCTTTCAATAATTCCGTTTCTGACGCTACGAACGACGATACGTATTACGTTTGACGCCAAAGTAGTCGAAAGAAAAATAATTTTTCGTAGGTCGCGCGAGCCTTTTAACCCTTCTGAGCATTAGTTAGACTTTCGAGACATATCGTAAAGTTAACGTGGCCGATTGTTCGTTTTACAGCGAGTACAAATCATCGCCGAATCCGACGAAGGAGAATTATTTATTGAGCGTGTTCCTGGGCGACATTATAGGCAGCCCGAGACTCTGTCATCAGCTGGCGAAGAGAGGAAGAGGCTGCGTGGACGCGACGCTCGCGGATTAACTGTAAACCGCTATTTATGTTGTACAAAACCGTGGTCCCTGTACAGATTGTAAATATCCCGATGACGCGTTCCCTGTTCCTCCGCCTCGGTCGTTAATCGGCGGGGGACAAATAAAGCTGTCGCATCCGTGTTTTCTCGCCTCGTTTTAGCGTAACGAGGATCCCCCGTTCTAACAAAAACAGCTGTTACAATTAATTATTACGTTTAAGGCTGTTAGCGTTCCGCGTTACCTGAGCGTCGTTGCACCCGGGCGACGAGCGTCGTGCAATTATCGCTCGTCGCCATTAATTACACGAATTTAGAACAGTGGTATAGCCCGGTGCCACCGTTTAAATTATCTTTAGTGAACGTTTGCGTCTTTGTCGACGAAATGTTGGGGTAAACGGTGAAGTTAACGCGCGGCGGAGGAGGACGAGAAGATTGCAATATTAATCGAGGGAAAATAAATAATGTAATTTGGTTTAGTGAACATTTCGTCCTAATCTTTTGGTCCTCTTAATCAGTCAAGTTTAAACAGAAGTTTATTTTATGAGGGTCCAAAATTTTGAAGAAGAATGTGGTCAATGTTTCACAGATTCTGACTGAAAACTACGGTGGATCTTGAGAATTAAAAAATGTTACGTTTACAATATTTGTAGATTGTATCTGCGTTCTACGATCGTTATAAATATTACGTCAGAGTCGAATGAATGTAACTTGGAGTTTGTTAATCGTTCAATAAAGTTGTTTGACGAATAAATACTCGATGTGTTTTGTAACTCTCGCGAACGACTAGGCACGCATGTAGGTCCGCGAAGTGAGAGTAGCCCGCGATGACGTTTCTTCCTACCTACGCCTCTTCGACCGAGTTTGTACACGAAGAACAGTTCTGAAGAAAGTCCCAGTTGCCCGTGAAACTGTGACACGATCATCCGCGACTCGAGTTGCTCGTATGTCTCGATTAAACGCGCCAAGAAAACCTTCTGTTCCAAAAAGTTTCAATTTCTCTAGAAAGAAATTCTTCGAGAGTGCAAAAATTCAACTGGAGAAATATTTTCTAAATGGGTATTTTAAATCGTTGTAGCCATAAATTTAACCCATTGAGTACACGGTGTCTCATTTAGAGCACATTGGGAGAAATACTTGTTATTGGTATTCATTAAAATACGACGTTGATTAAAATAATATACAATTTGCTTGATCAACTTTGGAATAGACACAGAGTTTGGTTGATAAAACTAATTCTATTCGATTTTATAATTTATCACGATTGTTTCTTGATTCTGGAAAACAATAATCTGGTACTTAATGGGTTAAAACAAGCGGAGGATTCGAGAACAGCAATCAGTGAGAAGTGAGAAGTGAGAAGAGAGAAGATAGTAAAGGGAAGATTGACGTTCAATTTCGAAGAAACAGAGAGTCACGCGATGATATTCAAATTCATCCTTATTTGCTTCCTTCTTTGCTTTGACGTTCGCGCCGGGGATGGGTTTCAGATGCCTCCCCAAGAAATTGATGGCGCTCGTTACTGCGACTTCGATGGTCCTCGAAAGAACTACAACGCGTCCGATTTATTGCAGTGAGTAGAAAATCCTATTATTCTCGTCAGTGGGAGCCAACCGCCGGGATAATCCGCTTCGGCGAAAAACATCGCGTAGGTGTATCGACGTGTTAGTCGCCGATTTCGTCGATCGAGAAAGCAGCGCGGAGAACGCAAAAAGCCAGTGGAACGGGTCAACGGGCAGGCAGATCTCCTTCGCGGACGTTTTCGCCAACTTCTTCAACGAAGATCAGTCGCTGGTACGCCCAAATCCCACCCACTGCTTTCTTAACCTTTAAGTGAATTATTAAGCCCTCTGCAAGTTTGAACTAATAATTATATGAAAATTTATGTGATCCTCCACTAGTTCATTAATTTCTAAAGGCTTTAAAAATCAATATCAAGTAAAATAATTCACTCGAGATTGAGAATCCACTTAAGGGTTAAAAAATTTTTTTTAAAAATCCTCCCATAAAAATCTGACGTCCTTTAGAGAAAATATACTTCAGTATCGTTTCTTTCGTTCACAAAAATTCGAATGGAATCGAATGCAATTACAATAAGAGATAATCTTCGAAAGAAACACTTTGAAATGCAAAGGGGTAGATTAAATTGGGGCGAAATTCGCGGAGTTTGCGGAACTTTTCTACTCGTAGCTGCACCAGAGCGCATCCCTTCCGGCGGATACGACGTCCGGCTACTACCAATCGAATTATCCGGCGATATCAGGTGGAACGTTCGATTCTTCGCCGGGATTTCAGCTGAATCTATTCGATGCCCTTTCGTCGATATCCCGCCACGACGACTACAAGTGCGTGCCAAGGATACTCTGCGAAATGGCGAGTGGGAAACTTCCAGGAAGATCGTTGGCCAAACAAACGTCCAGTTTGTTCGAGTTTTTCGGAAAAAACGCTCTAACGGAGTACGTTCGACGAAATCATCGTTTCTATGGGAGGGACGAGGTATTGAGATTTGATTTCTTCGCGTTCTCAGGTGGCTGGCCACGGTGGACGTTGCTGGAGCCTCTCCGTTACTCAACTTTGGAAGAGCTATGATACTCGGGTATAGCAACAGAGGAAACTCTCTGGCTTGTTACAGAGCCTTTCCAAAGTGTCCGAGAGACTCCAACGAGCTCGTTCATTATCTCAATAATTACAACGGGGGATTCTTTCGACTTTTTAATAGGCTTCAATTTGGAAAACAACGACGGTTCAAAGGTATTTGTAGATAACAATTCCTAATTCTCAACTTCCAGAAGACAATTGGAAAATCTCGTTTAATTTTTTCTTTTCTTTCAGGCGATTATTCGAGAATTGGAACGGAGGGAAGAATAATTACTGGTGGCTCGGTACGAGCGGATCGTCCTAAAGAAGTTCGGAATAAAGTTCACTTCCCGAGTTACGAATTATTTAGAAGCGACAACGATATCGCTTTCCCGATTGAAAAAGTCCCGAATAACGATCCGGCGACCAACAGTATCGTGAACTTTGCACAAGAGTCGGAAACGAGTGTCTGGCAGGAGAACGATGCCTCGTTTTTCCCTCAGGTAATCGCCAAAAATAATAAAGTTATTCGTCTAATCGTGCATTCTCAAACTTTTATTTTTTTCAGGATGCGGATAACAAAAGGTTCTCTCGATTCCGATTTCCCTGAATATTCAAAACAGAAGATTAAAAATATGAGAATTCGAGGTCCTAGAGCGAGCATTTCATTTCAAATAAATACCCAAGCAACAAATCAAGAAGAAATTCTCTCTCTGAAGTGATTTGGTAGATTTTAAGGGCAATATAAAATGGAAAGAATCACGAGAATTTTGTACAAAATAAGCATCTATACTATTCGTGTAAGAGTTTGACTTACAATCTGAAACGTATTACTTTATCTTATAGAAATTTTTATATTGGAAATAAATTAATAAATCTACAGAGATGTCAAAGACCATGTACTGTATTTTTTTAAACATTATTAGGCTTGTGAAACTTTGAATAATAGCTAAAGGCTCGCGGGTATTTTGTTGACTACTGACACCCAAGTGACAGGTGAAAATATTACACTTACAAAAATTTTTCTATTACAGATAAATCAATGTATAATCTACAAAAATGTTAACAACCATATACTGTAATTTTTTAAATATTCCTAGGCTCGTTAAATCCCAAATAATAGCTAAAGTGGCGGGAGCTCGCGAGTATATATTTTTTGAATGGCGCCCAGCGTGACAGGTGCTTAAATTTCTAGCATTCGAGGCTACCTGAAACTACGCGGAGGTGTTTAAATATCGGCGACACGATTTCTAACGTCCACTTCCCACCGAGGCCACAAATTACCAGCGACGGCCAACCACGAATTTACAACGGATTACCAGGGTCCCCGAGTGTAGCTACGAAAATTCGTCCACGCCCACGGGACGCCATCGTTTGCTCCACCTGGCCGTCTCCCATCAGGGATTTTCTATCCACCTGTACGAGCCCGTGTTCATAAACAGGAAGTCCCGTAGTCGCCGCGGCGGACGCAATGTTACTGGCGCAGATGCCATTTGTGGAAACAGCATGGGGCGCCGTTCCAGCACCGACAACTTGTCCAATGAATCTGCCCTCGAGCATCAGCTTTATGTCTCTGTTACGCGCGCTGGTAAATTGTATCTTATCCCGGTTCGATTTCCTGCACGGATAGCGGCGCGAAATAATAACGACGCGGACGGGGGCGAGCGGGGTACACCCGTTCCTCCCGTTGATGGGATGTCCCTTTATGTCGTGCAATATGCACGCCAGCGAAGGATTATATCATCCTGTCGCATAATTTATACGTATAAACGGCGCTCGCGATCTTACGAGCAAACTCGCTGATCTCTTAAAAGTTAGTCCCGGTGTATTTATGCGCAACGGGTATACGATTGCTCTTGGCATATTTATAACGGTATGCTCGGAGATATATCCTCCGCAAAGTGGTCTGATATTGATATTTAGTCCAGTTACCTGGTAAATAGATCGTACGTGGAACGGATGTGGCGAACTAACGGATTTCAAATTGGAACACGCTTTGAAAAATATTTACAAAGTATTCGATATAGACACGATGTGACATCATCTATAAAAAGTAGCAATATCTTCCATTTTAATCATAATTTTTAAATCGTATTCATTTCTGTTGATTCCAAGATTCGCGAGAGGCCTATTAATTTTTTGCTTAGGTTCGAATTTAAAGTTTCGATGGGGTAAATATGAATATTGATTGAACGGTAGGAGCCGCAAGCTGCCATACGCGTCACCCCTCGGTCGTTCCGATAAATCCACATAACCGAGAAGTCACAATTCCGAACGTATCCCTTTATTGTACACTTTCGATATCGGGTGTCGTTCACCTGGAGCAATTTCACGAGAGAAGTGCTAATTTTCACGGGAGCTACGGGGAACAGGTAACAATCACCAATAACAGGTTGTACTTATCAACGTTTTTACGAACCGAAATATTAAATTATGTAACTAAGTGTAATGATACTGTTAGGAACCTGGCAAGGTTTACGATACGGTCTCTTGTGAATACCGCTATTTTTGAAGATAGCTAATTTCAATTCGCTTGTTAATAGTTACAGCTAAACGAGGAGTCAGGGCCCTAAAAAATTATTACAAAATTACAGCAATCAGGAACTCGTACCAGAGCCCTGCTCCGTCGTTCTCGATAGCGATTGACGTATCATAAACCTTCCAACTAGTCGCGCGGTCGATTAACGGCCTCGGTACCTGGGCACGGTCCCCGGTCGAGTACTGGGAAATATCCATTTCCGGGGGGGGTTCAGTTTGCACCCCGACTGGTAGGCGGCAACCTGGACTAGGCGGATTTCGAAAATCCAACCCCCAACCGGGGACGTCGGCCGATTGGTCAGTTTCGTTACGCCTCATCGGCAATTTTAGTATATAAGAATAGCATCGGAAGAGTTTTTTTTAGATTAGCAAGAAAATTATAGTTGGAAACGTCACTGTATCTCTTGTTGAAATTAATAAACACCAAATACGAACCATTAGTTTCCTACACTGAAGGTGGTCCTTCGAGTTTGTAGCTAGTCGGCACACCACGTGCAAACTTACAACCACGGATAGAACAGATACGTTACGGTCAACCCTTTGCCTCGCTAACCGATGGAGTAAACTACAGTTCGCGCTGTCGCATTATAAAGAAATGTCCTTCGTTATGTCGGTGACTTATTAAACGACAGTTATAAGACCTACAAATTACAGTTTCGATCTAATTGCTAATCATTATTCCCTAACTAGGTAGCGGGCCAATTACCGTACGCGTACACAAAAATTCAGTAAATTATGCGGGCGAAAAAACCTCGCTAACGGAAAAATCGGCCTGTTAACTCCCACGAGGCCCACGGAGCCGATTATGGGGCGTATGAAAATACAAATATTTTAACAACTGACAGGTTTCGGTCCTCCAAGTCGTAGCTATAACTCGACAAATGCATGGAAATCCTAATTGTAAACGAACGGTCTCGCGAATCCACTCCCTATCGTTGTTTATAAAGTTTCTGCTATTTAGTTGATCGTATCAATATACTTCGAACTTTAGATATCAGATAGTGTTTCGATTCCTTCGTATACCGGACTGTTAGTGCCAGATACACATCCAGTAACTTGCTTCTTATAAACGAGCAATAGCGACCAGAGCGAGGAACGAGAGGGCAAAAAAGAATTGTGTATCGACATGCACCAACAACTCTGCAATATACGATGCAACGCGGTATTGCAGCATGTGCTGCAATAAACTCTGAGACCGCAAGACATCCGAGGGATGCAACGGCTCGAAGATTGCAACGTTGCATCGATGCACACGATCGACATCTCGAGCGAAGCTAAATATCTAAACACTTGTAAATTCTTGGACCTCTGTACTTTCATACTCGAAATTAAGCTATTACATCGACATCGAGTATAAAACACTGATTATTTAAAAAACAGACTTTAAACCTTGTAACTTTTGTAATTGTAAATTTTACGTACCGTAATGCAGGCGAAAATGTGCATATTTGATGCACAATTTTTCTCCGATTTCTCCTGAGTGGAATGGAAATTTTATTGTTGGTCCAAGTAACGGTTGCATTAATGTGTCGCGTCCGAACTGTTCGTCAAACTTTTTTACGGTCGTCTACGTAAAATTTTCACAGGTGGAGAGGACTTTCTAGGCGTGGTTCCGAAGTGATTTATGGCTGTATCGCCTTTGCACCTCGCTGCGTTTACGAGAGTCACTATATTTCGTACACTCGCGAAACAACGGAATCGTAAAACGTAATATTTGCGAGTCAGGCCCCCGACAACGTATTTTTATATCTCCATTAGTCCTCACGATTCATACGGGGGAAGACATTCGGTAAATTTCGATAATAATTATGCCCACATTAACGTAGTATTAATTTTACAAACCTATTCAAATTTACTGCAATCGACATTAGAAATAATAAATATTAAATATTTTTATTATTTGCTCTCTAATTTGAGAAATAGTCAACGCGTTAAGGGGTTACAATCGTACCAAAATCCACGCTCGATACAATTTTCCATCCGTGCGGAATTCCATTCCCCCATGGGCTCTAAACGTCCGTGCCACGCGCACACCCGTACCCACAAACGACGAACGAAGGAAGAAAAAAAAAAACGGAGAAAATCAAGAGGAGGAAACGAGTAATTATTTTATCCTTTCTGGCGTGTAATTCGAGGCGTGCTCGCAGTCCGAGAGCTCGATGGCGCGGTTATCGAGGGTGGCGTAGACGCTGCAGTCGCGATCGTCGTTGCCTGGAGGGCCGTGTGCCTTGGACAAGGCCGAATGGGGTGCAACTGACAGCGAAAGACAATTAGCCTTCTGATACATCCCGATGTCGCCCGACGCCGGAGCCGATACACCGGGGAAACCCGCGGCGCCCAGATTCGATACACGCCTCCTGGAGCACCGCGCGACACCCCCCTGAATACTACGATTGTTCCTGGCAACCGACCGAGCCGCCCTTCGACTCCGCTCCCGTGTAATTGAACGTTGGTTTTTCGTATTGACGCTCGATACAGGACAATTTGCTCCGCGTCCTGGAAAACGTAGCGCTTTAATTCGCCCGGGGGACGATCAAAGACGCGTGGAAGATGCTCTCATTGTTGCTTCGTCCGCGTACTAATTGAACGTCACGCGTCGGGAATTGTACTTCCCCTTGAGAAGTTTCTCTTAACCACCCTCGTTCGCTCGAGGAGAATTTTTTTAATATAGAATTGATTTAATTTCTTGTGAAACTAGTCTTAAAATTTAGTGGATGCACCGTGTAGATTATTTTATGATTAAATAGAAAATATTCTCACTTTAGCTTCGAGGAAATAAATTTACCCTCTTGACAGTTCTATTTTGTGTAACCTTCCTCAATATAAAATTGATTTTTACGGTTCAGAAATTCTATGACAAGAGTATGTCGAAAGCTGAGAAGGAAGAAATTTATTTTCGTGATGGTTTACTTTAGCTTCAAGGAAATAAATATATTCTCTTGACAATGTTATTTTTTATGAACCTAGTGGACGTATCGACTACTTTACCTCATAATTAAATAAAAAGTCTTACCCTAGCTGACACGAGGGGTAGTTTCTATAGTTTTTCGTTGTGCACCAGTTCGAAGACACTTCCTATGAATTCAGAGTCACCGACGCGAGAGAATAGCAGAAAATGGAGCCAGGACGTTAATAGACCGGTGTATATAAACGTTCCGGAACGCCCTCGAAGCACGTTCGACTCGTTTCCCCTGTTCGGTGGCAACGGCGAGTCTTCCGTCGCGCGCAAAACAATCCGCGCCGGAGAGTGGCGTCCCGAGCGACTGAAATTGAAGCCGCAAATCAAGGATAAACGGGTAACAGGCTGAACGAGCGTCGATCCGATACCGCAAAAGGACCCGCGGACAAGTATGATTCCCCGTCGACGCCGGGGCGACCGTCGGCGTCTGGGACGACGTAATCTCACTCTATTAGGGGCGGTATTATTTTCCGTGGTAGACATCAAAGAGGATTTCCCGCGGGCTCATTGTATCGCGGCGATAATTCCTCGTTATTAGGAGCGCGCCGGGAGCGTTGGTCTCATGTCGGCTTACCACGCCCCAAGTGCCGAAACAAATCCTCCCGAATTGGGAGCCGATGCAAAGGAGCTATTCCGACAGCGAGACGCGGCTGACAATGGGAACACGGTCGAAAACGCCGAGGGTGACGCGCGATTGTCGCGGTTAATCCCCGTGAAAAATGCGACGCAGGTGAACCAGGTGAGGGCAGACTGAAAGGAAAATCGAATTTCCCGTCGGTCGGGGGATAATCGAACCGTTCACGATCGTGGCTACAGCGTCAAAATAATTAGACACTTTCTAAGGGGGAAGATCGACGCCCCAATTATATTTCGGTGGACGAGAGAATTCGATGAGAGCTTTCGAGCCGATTTGCGATATTAATCCCTTAACCCTTAAGGGGGTTTTCTACTGTAAAAATTCGATTTTTTGTTTTGCAGGATGTAGTTTTAAAAATATATGTGCAAAAGCATATCATCGAACTTCTAAAATTGATGTTATCGATAAGTTAAATCAGAGGCAAGTAGTCAACGTGGAACATTGTTTCATGATACACTTCCATGTGTGAGTCTCAAATTCATTTTCCTCGATAAGAAGAAACTACATCGAATTAAGTGGCGAGTGAGAATCCATAATTATGTATTAATAAAACGCGCGTAATAAGTGCGTAAAGGACTCCGAATAGTTCGAATTGCTCCCATAAAACCTACCCCTAGAGTTGTTGCAAGTTTCCCCGGGAATTTTCGATCGAAGAAAGAGTCGAAACGGCAGCACATCCAGGAGATTAAGAACGCAAGCGGAGAGGAATCGCGAGCTGCGCTATGACGCGGAACGGTAAAATTAGAAAGATTCCAGGTCCCGGAGTTAATCAAGGATCAATAACACGGGACACCGAGCCCGCTCGCCGGAATAAGACATAAATTCCCCGGCATTCCTACCCTCCGTTTAACCATAAAACACCGTCGACCTCCTATTTAGCTATATATTTTTCTCCACGAGCGGGCCACAATGGTCCAATATCGTTGGATCGTAATATACCGGGACTGTCCTTTCCTTCCCGATGGACTTTTCAATTTAGAGGCATCTTTGTCACGGGGAACCCGGGGACAGCAATTCGGCCGGACAAAGGAAGAGGACCGGCCGTAGATCTCGCTGAAAACTGACTCTCTATCGTTCCCTCGGCCGCTTGATCGACAGAATAATTCGACGAGAATGAAAATTCACGGCTCCGCGCCCTCCCAGACGCCCCCCTCCGTTCTTCACGATCGGGGGATCTTGGGGGATCCGTGACGGTCAAACCGGGCGCGGATAAGTGGATATCGCGAGGGAAGGAATATATCCCTTCAGGTTTCATTGTCGTGGCCGCCGAGATTTCCTCTCCCTTTTAAAATGTTGAATCGCCCCCGCGCCAGACACCGACCCCCTTTGTAGAGGAAGCGTCGAGCCGTGGACAAGCGGGCCCTGATCGATTGTCCTTTATTGGCCGGGAAATTTAAATATTTCTGCTGGTAAGCTCTCTTCCTTCGATCGTGTCTAAAATCGCTTGCAGGAGATTTATGGAAACTGGGGGCGTTGTTTTGCTTAACATGCATTAAATATACATTGGTCTTTGGACTTTGGACTTTGAACTTTTCTGATCTCAAATATTTGTGTTATCTTGTTCTACAATTAATATATTATCTGGGACGGTGACTCTTGAGAGCATTAAGCTGAACGTGTGTACACAGGTAAGCAAACAACAGAGCTGGCGGAGCAGGAAATAAGAGGTTTTTAATGCTAAGAATAATTCAGAGAATAAATGAGGGAACGAGGAAAAGGCAAAAGACATAAAAATATAGAAATAAAGAATATGATAAAAGGAAGATGCATTTAGAATTTGTGAAGACCGAACCTCTACCCAGTACCTAACTTTTAATAGACAATACAAGTAGAAATAATGAAGAATGGACAGACACATCAGCCTAGCTACGCTGAATCACACGTGTACTCATTTCAAAATCGATAGCCTCGACAACGAAACCTATGAAAAAATTTAATTCCACATTATCTACTGACCTCTAGATATAAAATTAGCTCTTTAACAATTACATAAATTCACACGCCTTACATACAAAAATATAGCTTCAAAGTATAACTGTTCCAGACCACAATACAATTACAATCTGTAAATCACCGTGAACCCAAAGTGGATCAAGCCAGCTTCTATCGCGTAAGAGAGATCGCGATTCTGCGTCACAGCGATACGACGATCTCCTCTATTCCCATACCCACCGAAACATCGAATTCGATCCTTCAATTTCTCAATTTCTATTCTAATCGAGTGATCCCCGTCCGAGGAAGAGGGGAACCGCCCCCGATTTCCTCATTAAAAACAGGAATCACCAATATTCCCTTCGTCGGATCCTCAAACAGCGATCCTCCCTTTAAAACATCGCGGGATCGGGCTGATCCGTCGGATAGGCTTTCAAATCGTTCATAAATAAAGCGACGAGCTGCGGGTTGCGTCTCGTGCAACGTCAGTCAGCCACGTTGATTGCAGCATTGTGGACACGTGTCGCGGATCAATCCACGGCCGCGTGTCAGTATTTTCGTATCATCGCCCAAGGGTGCCCCACCGACTTCCTCCTCGTCTCCTTTCAACCACCGCGCCCCATTCCTCCCTCTGGCAACCACTCTTTTGTGACTCGAGGCTGGGGAAAGCCAAAGGTCCCGCCATCTTACTTCTTCGCGATCTTTTCTCTTTTTTAACTAGACAACGCTCTAATGCGACGGGATTAGGCGACCAGTGGGAGGCTCAGGACTTTCCTCGAGATTGTCACGGATAAAGGACTCGAGCAAACAGGGGGAGGCGGAGGATGCCGATTATCGACGCTTCCTCACTCCAAGGAGGAGGGGGGCTCGTTTTTTAATTAAAGTATCAAGCTGCTGGCTTTCTGGTCTCCTGTCTCGGGTCAACAAAAATTCAGAATGAAAGACAGAGGTGAGCAGGATTCCTAAAATTACTTTTGGCGACGTCTACTGTACGCTACATTTGTCATTGCGAAGTCTCATGCATTTAGCCTTAAGATTCTACTTGCACCAAATGCTTACGTCAATTAATAAAATAATAAAACCTAACAGCTCAATTTTTCTTCTCAAATGATTATTATCTCAATTATCGACGCTCCATTACTCCAGGGGGCTCGTTTTTTAATTAAAGTATCAAGCTGCTGGCTTTCTGGTCTCAAAAATTCAGAATGGGTCAGGAGGAAGGTTGAAAGAATCAAAGACAGAGGTGGTCCTAATTCCTGATTTCTTAAATTGCTTTCGGTGACTCTCACCAAGTGCTCACCACGTTAATTAATAAAATAATAAAGCTCCATACTTCAAATTCTCTCCTAAGCTTCTCTTTTCAAGTGACTATCCTCTCAATAAAATAACCCAAGGAAAAATTCTCTGAGCCCAATATGCCGTCCAGACGAAATTCGTCCTTCCTGTCGCCCACGACGCGAGAGACCTCGATAACTGGATCCAAATTAAGACGAGCAAGGCCTCGAGCGTAACCGCATCGAACTCGAGACGACCGCAAGCAACTCCTTCGCCCGAGGAGAGGCGTTAAGCTAACTTCCAAGAATCGATGGCTACTCGGAAGCGTTCCGACGTGGACGTCTAGGAAGCCGATCGCGGAGTGAACGTAGGCTCGCGTGGGCCCCGGGTGTGTCCGCGTGCCCCGGGACGCCCCGGTAGATCAGAAACGTCCGTTCCGCATCGCCGAGGGCTAATTCGTTCGCGGGGACGAGCCGAGTACAGCTACGTTTCGTCCATTTTCTTGCGTCGCGATGCGATCGTTTCTTTACGTGCGGTTTACGGTACGAGTCGCTCGTTTCTGCTCGCCACCGCGTCGGAAAAACCTGATACCCGCCACTTACCGGGCGCGGAGGCAACGCGGAATACGGCTAGGAAGCGGCCGGTTTTGCTACGACGCGCGGAATCGTCGCCGGTTTTTTGGGGGAATTACGGCGATTATGTAAAGCGCGCCAGTTCGATGGTTTTGTCGTTCCTTCGCGGTTTGCTACTACGCGAGTCGGTTTCTTGCCGGCTACGATACCCGCGTTGCGATTAGGAGATCGGACCCGCAAAGAAATCGGTGCGTTCTTCGCGGCGTGTTTATTTAATTTAGCAGCATCGGGCGTTTCTGGCGTGAAAAACTGTCGTTCGGTTCTTTGGCTTGCTACGACTCGTTTCTGACTCGGTCCGTTCCGGAGCTTCTTGCGGAAAGATTATGATCAGCTAACAGGTTGAAAGAAATCAGATTTTTATGGGAAATTCCATTTGCACACCTTGTATCTTATACATATTGTCTCGTAGCATGAAAATACTAAAAAAAGTTCATATAAAGATACGTCCTACTCGACCTCGTTTTCGAGCTGTATATTGGT